AAAAAAAAATAAAAAGATGCTGAGGCCTCCCACCCTGCTCCCTCTCAAATTATCTGCTTTGGACAAGCCAGTTGCCATGTTATAAGGACACTCAGGCAACCCTATGGAGAGGTCCAAGTGACTGGGTCAGATGTTTTCTTCCAAGTGACAGCACGAACCCGCCCGCCATAGGACAAGCTCTCTCAGAAACAAATCCTCCAGACTCGTTCATGCCTTCAGGTCACCACAGCCCTGGCTGACAGGACTTCAGCCCCACGTGAGACCCCATGCCAGAACCACCCGGCTAAGCCCCTCCTGAATTCCTGACCCACAGAAACTGAGATAGTAAATATTTCCTGTTGACTTAAGCTGCTAATTTTTGGGAGAATTTGTTACCCAGCAATAACCAATACATACTCCATACTTTCCCCACTGATTTGTGGCACCCTCTTCTTCACTATCAGTTCTCATATATACAGTAGACTGTTTCTAAGCTCCCTATTGTGTTTCATTGTTTTTGTTTGTTTCTGCACCAAAACCACTGTTTTCATTATTATGGCTTTGTAGAATACTTTAATGTCTGGTAGTGTCAGTCTCTCCTCTTGGCTCTTTTTAAAAATTTACCTAAGTAATAGTAAACTTCCATCCTTCCGTGTTAATTTTAGAAAAAGTCCCATGAGTTTCTCAAAAAAAAGTGGAATTTGTATTCGAATTGCACATCTAGTTTTTAGGTTGGGAGAGGTGAGGGGCTTTGTCATGAAGGTTCTAAAGGCAGAAGAGGAAAGAAGCCTGGGTCCGGTTCTGATTCTGCCTCTACTCTCCCATCCCACCAGGGTCATTCATTCGACAAATCCATACTGAGCTTCTACTCTATACCAGGCACTTACTTCCTAGGTGGGAAGAGACAGGCCATAAGCACAAACACCAAAAACAGAAAATGTGAAGAACTGAGTGCCACAAAGAAAGGGAACTGATACTATGAAAAGGAAGAAATAGAGGGGGCAGCTTTGGCCACAGAGCTTAGGGAGAGAAGCCCTATTTGAGCTGAGACCCAGATGGTATGAGGGTCCAGTCATGCAAACACTGACTGTTCCTGGTAGTGGGAGCAGCAGAGGCCTGGGTGGGTACAAACTGCATGTGCCAAGCAGCAGGCCAGGGGTGGGGCTGATGCCCAGCAGCAGGGGGGAGAGGTGGGACCCTGCAGAGCCTGTGGGCTGCTAGGGAGTCTGGCTTTTCCCCAAAGGCAGCAGCGGCTTTGAGAGGCTGTGCAGTGGGGGAGTGAGTGGCCATTGCTTGTGCTGTTAACCACCTTCCGCTTGTTCTCTAGCAAAAGAGGGAGAACCTGTCCCCACTGTGCCTCATCCCCACGGTGACATCTCCCCGGGAGGAGCAGCAGCTCCTGGCCAGCACCTCCAAGGTGAGGCCCCTGAGCCCTGGAGAGTGGAGGGCAGGGCCTCTCCGAGCAGCCTGACCCCACCCTCCTCCATCCTCTCCTTCCCCCACAGCCCGTGGTGAAGCTGCTGCACAACCGCAGTAACAACAAGTACTCCTACACCAGGTGACCGCCCCGGGGATGGGGAGGGGCCCCGGGTGGGCTCTGGGCTCAGGACAGCCCAGGGAAGGGCTTGGCCACCCAGAGGTACTCAGCGCGCCGGCTCTAACGCACATCCCCGCTCTGTCACTTACTCACTGGGTACTTAGGTCAGTTCCATTGCCGAGCTTCAGCTTTATCATCAGTAAACCGGGTTCAGGTGAGGACTGGACGGTAATGACCAGCATCTACCAAGAGCTTATTTTACAACAGGTGTGGCTCTGCCTTACGTGTAGTAACACATAATCCTCACAATTGCTTGAGGGACGTACTGCTGGGACCTCCGTTTTACAGATGAGGAAATTGAGGCACCAAGAGGTGAAGTAACTTGCCTAGGGTCAACCAGTTAAAAAGTGGCGGAGCTAGGATGCTGGGTGACTCCAGAGACGTCCAGCGGGGCTCCTCCGGTGTGCTGCTCGGATTTGCTCAGCAAATGCTGCTTCCCTTCTGAGGCAGGCTTAGCCTGGCCCCAGGCGTGGAGGAAGCCCCCTGTTGGGCGCCGACCCGGCGGGGGCTGGACCAGCGGGCTGGGGGGCGGGACCCACGCTGAGGGCAAAGGGGAGCCTGCTGTGCTGAGGCCTCGCCCCTGGTCCTCAGCACTTCAGATGACAACCTCCTTAAGAACATCGAGTTGTTTGACAAGCTGGCCCTGCGCTTCCACGGGCGGCTGCTCTTCCTCAAGGACGTGCTGGGGGACGAGATCTGCTGCTGGTCTTTCTACGGGCAGGGCCGCAAAATCGCGGAGGTGTGTTGCACCTCCATCGTCTACGCCACGGAGAAGAAGCAGACCAAGGTTAGAAGGGGTTCGGCCTGGTCATGGGGGCTGTGGTGATGGTGGGCAGGGCCAGGACCCAGGCAAAGGCAGCTTGGCCGATCCGACAGGGGAAGTTCTCACCCAGCCTCAGGAGCAGAGTTCCAAGTTCTGGGTCTTAGCTGGTACGTCATGATGTCAGTCATCTGGCCCCTGACCTCTTACCAGCCTGGTCTCATCTGCCCTTGCTAGGAGGGAAATGCCTCGGATACACCAGAGATCTTGCCAGTCCCTGAGCCCCCAAAGCTATGTCACACCTCCCTCCCTTTGCGCACACTGTTCCTTTTTCTTGCGATTATTCTTCCTCATCCCTATCTGCCCAAAGAACTTGTGCTTCCTCTGTAAGACCCAAGCTAAGCCCCACTTTCTTTGGGACACCTTCGCTCATGAACTTTCAACCCAACAACCCCAGATAAAGTTGGTCATACCTCTTTCTTAGCTAAACATGGTGTTATTGTAGTGTGGGAGGGGAGGGGGTAGGAGGGTTTACTTCGGCAGCAAGGTGTTAGCTCCTTGAGGGTAGGCCTGTAAAGTTTTTTCCCTATATTTCTAGCACTAGTGGAGGCTAGTAGAAGAGATTATAACACAGTGGAAGTTAGGAAACATTTATTGAATCCATGAATGAATGAAGGATGAATGAGTGACCCAACTTCCAAGAAGCTTCCTTGGTAATTGGGGAGACAGGAGGATAATCGATTAGAATGCAGCTTGTTAGGAATTACGCTGGTTACATTCCTCCAAGCCGCAAGAGGGAGACCTCCGACCCCTTCCCTCCATCCCTTCACCCTCTCCATCACTGCCTCTTGGCACCAGCCATTTTGCTGCCCAAATGATCAATGCACCCCTGCCCCTGAGCTCTTACACTCCTTACTGCCCCTTCCTAGAATGTTCTTTCTCTATCAGCCACCTGGCTCGCTCCCTCCCCTCTTTCTACCAGTGGTCGAATGTCATCATCTCAGTGAAGCTCTGAACTCCCTCTTTAAAGTTGTAACGTCCCTGGCCTCCTGGCTGTGGCCTTCCCCACCCCTTTTCCTGCTACATGTTTTTCCATAGCATTCGTCATCTGACAGCTTATATTTCGTTAAATGTCTGTCTGTCCTCCCTATGCAAACTCCCTGTGGATAGGAACTTGGTCTGTTTTGTTCACGGCTATATCCTTAATGCCGAGAACAGCGGGTACAGTGTAGTCACTCAGGAAATATTCGCCTAACGAAAGAAAATGCCAAGAGACTTGGTAGCAAAGGAAAGCAAATAACTGTGTGACTCAGAGCTGGACCTTGATGTATACGTGTAACTTTGCTGAGGAGAGAAGTTGCAAAGGCAAGGAGGGGTGCCAGTGCAGGAGCAGCTGGGGCTGGGCTGGCCGTGGGGCTGGACCCAAGGGTGCGAGCCCAGGGCTGCTGCCATTTTGCAGGTGGAGTTCCCAGAGGCCCGGATCTTCGAGGAGACCCTGAACATCCTGATCTATGAGACTCCCCGGGGCCCAGACCCAGCCCTCCTGGAGGCCACAGGGGGTGCAGCTGGAGGCGGCAGGACAGGCCGAGGAGACGACGAGGAGGGCCGAGAGCACCGTGTCCGCAGGATCCACGTCCGGCGCCACATCACCCATGACGAGCGTCCTCATGGCCAACAGATTGTCTTCAAGGACTGACCCTGATCTTCCCACGTTTCCCTCCTGACACTGGGGCCCCCAGTCCCTCTCTCTTTCTCTCCCCTGCCCAGACCTCTGCCCTGGCTTTGCTGGCCAAGCCGTGGGTCTTCCTTTGTCTTTTTGTTGCATGGGACAGGGCACATTGGCCCTTTCCATCCCTTCCCACTCCATTGCAGACAGGACAGTATATTCCAGTCCCTCCCTGCATCAGAGTCCTCAGACAGCCTGCGTTTGTTCCCACAGCCCCACCCTCGCCCTACATCTCCCCTCACCAGCTGCTTTACAATGGTTGAGAATTCCTGTTCTCTTTTTTCAGTACATTGTCCATGCCAAAGTGTCAAGCCAGCCCCTTCTAAGCTGCCTCCCAACCATCGTGCAGGGCCGTTTGCCTCCCTCCCTCCTTCACTGTGTATTGAGCTGGCTGGGCCGACACCAGCTCAGCAATCTTAATGTGTTTCATATTATTTATTATTTAAATTTTCTATTAAATTATTGGAATAAAGTAGAGTTGAGGATCTGAAGCTGACTCCCGGGGACAGGGCCAGCGAGATAGCTTGTGTTAAGGAGGTGCCCAGGGAAGACATGCGCCCCTGCCACCAAGCTCTCTCTGGGCTGGCAGCTGGGAAGGAAGGAGTCAGGAGTGAGGAGAGGAGATGAGATCTGTATTTCAGTGTTCACCCGCCTGTTCCCAATGCAGCCCCCCCACCCCCTGCCTCAGCGAGGACATCCTGGCCACTACTCAGGCCAGCTCAGGTGTCTGAAGGGAACCCCTTCAAGGGTCTGGTGTGAAGACAAAGTCAAGGGCCTGGCGCTCAGCCCCAGCCACATTGGGGTGCCAGAGGTCTACGATGAAGACCACACGAGGCCCATCTTCGGGGGAGCCTAGGGCACAGGGAGACGGAGATAGTAGCTGACATTAAGTCTGTATATGCCAGAGTGCTCACCAAGTACCATAGAAGCAAACACTTTGTAAGCAAGTGCCAGGCACTGTGCCCGCCCCGCCCCCCCATGCATTACATCTTAATAATCAAAACTCTAGGTAGTGCCATAATAATCCTTATTTCAGACAAAGTCACTGAGGCACAAAGAGGTTAAATAACTTGCCCGAGGTCACACAGCTCGTAAGAGCCAGAGATAGGACAGGAACCCAGGTGGTCCAGGCCCAGGACCTTGTGCCGTGAACCACATTCCGTGCACCTACATTAATTTACTCCTTCAATAACCTCATCAAGGAGGTGGTGGCCCCATTTCACAGGTGAATGAAGTTATGTGACTTGTTCAGGGTCATGCAGCTAGACAATGGGGGCGCTGGGACAGAGCCCTGGGCAGATCCTGTAGCCTTTCTCTCGTCCCCTTCACCTCTGGCCATCCCCCCGAGCAGAGAGGGAGCCCCCTTACCATTATGAGCTACCGTGTGCAGGAAGGAGTCGTCCACCAGCAGACAGTGCCCTTCAGCCCAGCACTGGGGCTCACCCCCAACCACCAGCTCACAGCCAGGGGGGATCTTCAGGCCTGCAGAGAGAGAGCCGGGCATCCAACCCTCCCACCTCTGTCCAAAGGGTCCACCCCATTCAGTCAAAAAGCAGGCTGAGAATCTTCAATGGTGGTGTCTCCTCGCTCTCTGGGAGGGAACCCGAATATAATTATAATACAGCACTGGCCGGAAGAAGTGCTAGGACATAGGGGACACGCCATGCAAGGTCCAGTCTGTTTCCGAGAAAAGGGAAGGCTTCCTGGAGGAAGCAGCATCTCCTGGGCTTCTGACAATCTCTAACTCAAGCACCTATTATGTGCTGGGCCCTCTCTCCCTACAAAGTATAAAATTAATGACTCCATCCTGGCCCAAGGACCATGCAGTCTGGTACTGTGAGAAAATAGAGCAGCCACTTCAAATGACAGGGAATAATAGAACATCACAGAGAAGGTGCGACACTTGAAAGTATGAGTCCTGAAGGTTAAGTACTTTTCCAGGAGGGGATGAGATGATGAGGGGGAAATACATTTTAGGTTAGAGTACAGCATGAGTGTGGTGTTTGGCAGGATGACTCAGAAGGCCTCCAGGATCTAGAGCCCGGTGGAAGGGGATGGGAGGAAGGGAACGGGTGGGAGATTAGGAGAGAAGAGATCTGGGCTTGATCCTGACTGAGGCCAGGGTGCTTCGAAGTGGAGGACACGTCCACCCAGTAGCACGAGGGATGATATTAGGCCAAACAAGGTCATGGCAATAACAATCAGAAAATTCTTTTCCATTTTCTTTCCATCTTTAAAACATCACAAAGAAAACCTCAGTTTGGTGCGACCATGACACAAATCCCCCACTGACATGGCTGCTTTCTAAAGAAGAGCTTCCGTCTCAGAGAGACCAGAGTATTTAGCTAGCATTTTTAAAGCTTTTTCTCTTTTTAAGTTTAAATTTGTTTTTATGAGTACTTCCTATTGAGGGCAAGTAATACTGATTATCATTGTTCTATAAAGATTCCTTTAAAATAAGGAAAACAGTGTGCGGGGCGGGGCGGGGCGTCCCTAGGAAGAAACAGTGCAGGTGGGAAATGAGTACAGCAAGGTTTAAGAAGATGGTTTGTAGATAACTGAAGCTTGGGAAATGCCGCTGGGGCTAGATTTCTGAGAAGAGGCACGATCAGAACCACAGTGTAGAAAGCTCTGGCACCACAGAAGAGAGGCAGGCAGCATCTACTTACCCAGATGGCATCTGACCCTGGCATTGGTGGGCCCACAGCGGCTCTCAAGCCGGGCCCCCGGCAGGAGGACGGAGAAGCCAGCGCTGCCAAAGGTGTTGGCACTCATGAAGCTCCGCAGCCCCCTCAGTGCCCGATAGGCCCCGGGGCACCGACGGCAATTGTTGGGTTGGCACCGACCGGCTTGGTACAACAGGAGCTGGTAGCACCCAGGGGCCAGCGGCGGGGACCAGCCCCGAGGCAGAGGGGTCGTCCCTGAGAAATCCCAGCTCACAGCCCCAAAGTCCCGCAGAATCGCAGGGAAGCTGTTCTCCAAGAGCTCTACGTCATGCCGCTGGGCATCCCGTGACACAAAGGGGGCGGAGGGCAGGTCTGGCAGGAAAAGCAGGCCTGGGCGCTGAATGCCCATGACCCCTGGCCCTCCCCCAGGGCCTGGGCCTCCCTGAGCCGCCCGCCTCACCCTCCCCATCCCTGCCCAGGAGTAGCGTCTGGCATAGGCCCTAAGGCGACGGCTCACCAGGCCTTCTGTCCTGGGTCCTTCCCCAGACTCCCCAGGGCCCCCTGGGCTTGGCCTGCCAGCCTCAGAGCATCCCCCAGGCTCACCACTACCACCTCCAGCCCGACTCCCAGCCCCTAGGGCCTGCACATCTTGGGAGCCCAGGCAGTAGCAGTACCAGAGGAAAAGGGAAGTGAGGGCTCCAAGGAGCAGGGTAAAGGCTGAGGAGGCCAGGGGCAAGGGCCATGCCGGCACGAGGGGCAGGGAGGCCATGGCCAAGAGGCTGGGGGCATCTTCCAGACCCCAGTTCCCCTGTCTTTCCAGTGCTCCACTGGTTCCCTCCATGGCTGCTTCCTGGTTACCCCCTGGGCTGCTTCCCTTCCACATTCCCTACTCTAGGTTCTCTCTCCTTCTGAGGTCTTTTCTCCACCTTGTATCCCCCTTTCTCTCCTCCTTCATGTACCTTTAACCCTCGTTTCCTTCTCTCCCCTACCTCTTCTTTCTCCAACTCTCTCCCCTTCCTCTTTCACCCCTCCCCCTCTCTTCTTTCTCCTCACTGCAGTTTCTTCTCTCACCTTCTGCCTCTCCTTTCCCCACCGTCTGTCTTCCCCTCTCCTTTTCTTTTTCTCTTCCCTCCACCCCCACCCCTTTTTTCTCTCTCTCTCTACTCCTGCCCCTTTCCTTCTTGATTCCCCCGAGAGCAGTTCCTACTCCACCTGGACCCGCAGTCCTGGGAACCGCAACCAGTCGTCCTCCTCAGCGGCTTCTCTCTCCTACCTACCTACCCCCGCTCTCGACCCGACCAGCGTCTCTCTCTCTCTCTCTCTCTCTCTCTCTCTCCTCTCTCTCTCTCTCTCTCTCTCTCCTTGGCTCCCACACACCCTGACGTCACCCCCTCCCCTCAGCTTAACTACCCCCGCTCGCGCCCAGTGACAGCGGCAACTCTGCCAGGGAGGACGGGGTGGAGGTGGGGGGTTGTTTCTGGGTTTCCCTCCCCTGGGACCCCGAAGGGGCGCCACTTGGGGCTCAAGGGGCAAAGTGCCAACCTCCAGGCTTCCCGCAATGCGAAAAAAAAAGGCGGGGCCTGGGGCGGGGCAAGACAAGGGGCGGGACGAGCGCAAGGACTGCGGACCGGGACGCCTTGGCGGGTCGGTGGGTCTGCAGATCTTGCGACCAGTCGGCCTGTGACTCCTCCTCCCCCTTCGCTTTCACTGGAGCCAGCCCAGGCTTGAGCCTGATTGACAGTGAAGGCGGCTTGTTGAGGTGCCGGGGGCGGGGCGCACTCAGGCCAGGCCGGGAAGAGCTGTCCACGCACTGGTGGTGCTGAAAAGGGCTCTCCAGAGGCGTTGTGAAAAGAGGCCAGGAGGAAAAAAATCAAAGTTGAAATCCCCTGACAGCTGGCCGGGCTCATGTTATATGTAACAGTGGGGGGAGGTCTCCCCTCTCCAGATCTCAGCCTGTCACCCTCTAAGCTTCTCACAAACGTGGAAACTTGCTTTCTCCTAGAGGAGGGGACACATGAGCCTCTGTAAAAAGGAAATGGAAGACCCGTGGGGGGGGTCGGGCCATGGGCAGGGGGCATTTTGGGGGGCTAAGCAGGCGCCAGCCCAGCTGTGCCGCCCCTCGGCCTTCTGGGAAGGGGAGATTCAGATTTCAGATGTTGCTGGAATGGCAGAGAGAGGCGGGTGTAATTACTGCTGGGACCGGAGTTTCCTTTGCCTCCCCTAGGGGCCGCGGGAGTGAGGATTACGGTACTGGCTCATATAGTCCCTCCTTCCTCCCGCCACCCCCCCTGCTCGCCCCCAAATAAATCGCAGGCCCCTCCCTTCGCCCGTCCCCAGGATCTGACGTGAGCTCGACACCTTTCTCAGCTTCTCCCTCCTGCAGCTCCAGTGCCCGAGCTTCGGCTCTCTAGGTTCCGCAACCCTCTCCCCTCCCTGCCAAGCTCTGCTGGAGCCCAGTAGGGATCTTCCCGATCCTCGACCCCACCCCAGGCCCCCGGAAGCTGTCGTACCTTTCCCCAGCTGGATCCCAGCTTAGGATCCAGTTAGCCCGGGGGACCCAGGCGCCCGAGCAAAAGGGTAACCCAGGCGATCCGACCCCTTCGGCCCTCCCGGCTCCACCCCCTGCAGCCGGAGCCGCGCCCCCTCTCCCACAGACCCCGGAGCAGAGAACAGAGGAGATTGGGCAAAGAGGGGTGGGCTCCAGGCGACCCCAAGCCCAATTCCGCCCCTCTATCCCAAGGGATAGAGAAATTGTCTTCCTTGCTAACTGCTAGCAGGAAAATAATAACAATAAAGGGAAAAAGAGAACGAGAGGGAGGAAAGGTGACAGCTAGATTATTTAAGAGAGGCACAGAGAAGAGAAATCGGTGTGAGTCGTCATGGGGGCTCCCAGGGCCCAGCACCCGCCGCCTCCCCAGCTGCTGTTTCTAATTCTGCTGAGCTGCCCCTGGATTCAGGGTAAGAACACGGGAGCGTGGGGGTGGGCCCAATGAAGGCCCTCAGCGGGGTCCTTTACCCTCCTTTCTCCGAACATCCTGGGCCTTCCCAGCTCTTGGGGGAGGGGAGGGACACAGCTGATGGGGAAGGGGCAAGGCAGGATATTCTAGCTTGCACTTGGAGCCCCTAACCCCCAATATAGAGGAGGTGGGGAAATGAGTGAGGGGAGCTTTTAGCAATGTCTCAGGGGTTAAATCAAAGGAGGGCTGGGGAAGTTGGGGGGATTTCTGTGGAGGCGGCAGAAGCACGCAGAGTACCTGGGTAGGAGATGGAGGTGTTGGGAGAGACGCCAGGCACTGGCACACACAAATGTTCTTGGATGTGTGGACAAAGACAGATGAACAGAGGCCCTGCTCAGAGACCAGAGATTCAGTCCCCCCACTCTGACCCCCAGCCAGCCTCCAGGGAGAGACTGCAGAGAAAGAGAAAGAGAAAGAGAGAGAGAGAGAGAGAGAGAGAGAGAGAGAGAGAGAGAGAGAGAGAGAACCCTACACTGCAGAAACAAATCCTGAGAGGAAGCTGGGCACTGCAGAAGTAAGGGCTGGGAGGTGTTGTCAGACCCCCCACAGAGACCAGGGTTGTGAGGAGAACACCCCAGAGAGGAGAATGAAGAAAGAGCCGTTGCCCCTTGTCCACGGTGCTGGCGCTGTCCAGGGTTCATGAGAACCAAGGAGCTCACTGAAGGCTCACACAGCCTGGGGGGAAAGGGAGAGAGGAAGGTGTAGGAGTGTGAGGGGCAGCTGGGAGCCCCTCCCCGAATCTTGGCTCTCAGCCCAGCCTGAGACCCTCTGGGCTCCTGTAGGCCCAGCTGACTGAGGAGGACGGAAGAGCTCTGGAAAAGATCTTTCTGGAGAAGCTAGGAGTGTGGGGCAATGGAAGGGCTCACACAACTTCATCTCTTAGGTCTGCCCCTGAAAGAGGAGGAGGCCCTCCCTGAGCCTGGAAGTGAGACCCCAACGGTAGCCTCAGAGGCCTTGGCTGAGCTGCTGCGTGGGACGCTGCTGAGGAAGGGCCCAGAGATGGGCTACCTGCCGGGTGAGGCTCCTAGAGTGGCCGGAGTGACATAGAGGCAGAGGGAGAGACATTAAGTCAGGGAGATGGGAGCCAGGCCAGTGAAATTCAGAGGGAGACACAGAGAGATGGTTCGAGATAGTCATAACTGGGCATAGACGGAGAAATAGAGATAGAATGACCAAGAGACAGAGTCAGACAGAAAAACAATCAGATAGAAAGACAGATGGAAACTCAGAGAACCAGAATCAGAAAAATAGTAGGAGAGAAACACAAAAAGAAGAGAAATACAGAGACTAGTAGTAGATCTAGAATCATAAAATTAGAGTGCTAAGAATACTAATCAGAGAAATAGGAAGAGCTCCAGAGACAGCAAAACAGAAGAGAGAGAGAAAAGGGTAACCAGGAGAGGAGTCAAATCTAAATGGGGAGAGGCTCAAGGAGACTGTCAGAGTGAAAGGACCTGGGTCTAGAGGTGGGGCGAGGGAGGGGGAAGAGAGGAGGGGAGGGGGTGTCAGGCTGTGGAAGCCTTAGGCAGACATGGGGAGTTTGGGTGAGGACGGTAGAGGTGGGAGACCTGCCCCTTGTGGGGGAGGTCTTTTGGGTTCAGTGGGGGAGCCCCCAGTTTGCCTCAGCCCTGCTCCCCACCCAAACCCCACCAATTTGCTCCTCCTGTACCCTGATTTCCCTTGCACTGTCCCAGGATCCGATCCAGACCCCACACTAGCCACCCCTCCAGCCGGCCAGACTCTCGCAGTGCTCACCCTGCCACGGGCCACTGAGCCAGGGACAGGGCCTCTGACAACAGCGGTAACCCCTAAGGCCGGTAGAGGGGCAGGACCCACCGCGCCAGAGCTGCTGACCCCGCCCCCAGGAACTACGGCCCCACCCCTTCCCGGCCCTGCCTCCCCAGGCCCGCCCCTCGGGCCTGAGGGAGGAGAGGAGGAGACCACCACCACCATCATTACCACGACCACTGTCACCACTACCGTGACCAGCCCAGGTGAGGCGATTGAAAGGGGATGGGGTCGTGTCCAAGAGGACAGATGTGGGAGGGGAGGAAGATATGGATGGCAGAGAGGCTGCAGGGAAGGTGAGAAAGAAGGGGTCTGGGTACTGATGGGAGAGGAGCTTTTGCTTAATAATAAAGGCTAGCATTTGTATTCCCTTACTACGTACCCTTCCATTTGTCTCATCCACGTTAAAGTTGGCGAAGGGAGTTTGGGGCACAGGGAGAAGAGGGAGCAGTGGATAAAGATGGTGAGGGGTGATGGGAAGAAGACAGATGAGGGACCCCCAGAGTTGCTTGGCTGAGAGGGCAAGAACCCAGGGGTTAACTAAACCCCAGCCACGTATCGCTGTCTAGTTCTGTGTAACAACAACATCTCCGAGGGCGAAGGGCATGTGGAGTCTCCAGATTTGGGGAGCAGCCGCACCCCAGGACCCATGGACTGCACGTACAGCATCCATGTCTACCCTGGCTACGGCATTGAGATCCAGGTAAGGGGACTTACACGTATGATTGTGAGACCTTCAAGCCTGTTCCTCTGGGCCCTGGGGATACACAGGTTGGACCCAGGAGCCAGAGAACCTGTTTTCTAACCTAAACGGGCCTGCTTCCCAATGTCTGCAAAGACTCCCCTGGAGTTCTACAGCTTGGCCAATGTCACCATGGTGTTTGGGCTGCCACATACAGGCCAAAGGAAGATATGGGGCGGGGAGTTTGGGGGTCACCCCCTTGGTTGACTTGCCCTGGCGGGTCTGGGTCTGGTTTCTTTAGGTGCAAATGCTGAACTTGTCTCAGGAAGAGGAACTCCTGGTGCTGGCTGGTGGGGGGTCCCCAGGCCTGGTCCCCCAACTCCTGGCCAACTCTTCTATGCTGGGAGAAGGACAGGTCCTTCGGAGTCCAACCAACCGGCTGCTCCTGCACTTCCAGAGCCCACGGGTCCCCAGGAGTGGTGGCTTCCGAATCCACTATCAGGGTGAGGAGTCTGGGGTGCTGGTGGGAGGGCAGGGGCCACACTGGCACAGGGGACATCTCCAGGAGCCTTTTTAGCACAGGGCGATGGTGAGGGGCTTATTCTCCTGACAAGGACCCTGGGGACAGACCCTCCTCAGAGGAGAACTGTACACACTTATTTCACATGCTCGCAGACCTGCGTCTGGGTGGCACACCTTCAAGGTCACTCAACAAATGTTTATCGAGTGCCCCCTTCATACTGGCCCTCTGTTAGCTGTGGGGAGAGGGATGAACAAGCCACATGTAAACTTGATTTCAAGGAACTCAGAATCGAGGTTTGGAGACAGACAAGGAATCAGGATCATTATAATTCAGTGAGTTAAGGACCAATATCCTTACGATGGAGGAACTACACGCAAGAGCAGCAAGTCTCAAAGGGACCTAAATTTTTCCTCAGGAATATAGAGACAACTTCTTGGAGGAGGTGATGACTAAGCTGGGACCTACAAGATGAGTTAGTTAGGGGGAGGGTGGGAGGGAGAGCAAGAGGAAAGCAGATGTCTATGGATGAAAAAGCACATTCTAAGACCCAGAGAGGAGAAACAATGTGACCCCCCCCACACCCCACTCCTTAAGGAGTTGAAGTAATTCAGCATGGAAGATAGAATTGTCCTAGCTGTGTGACCTGGGACAAGTTACTTAACCTATCTGTGCTTCATTGTCTCATCTGAAAAATGGAGATTCTAATACATACCTCGTGGTATTATTAGGAGGATCAAATGAGTTAATACATATCAAATGCTTAAAATAGCGTCTGGTACACAGTGAGAGCTCAAAAATATCAGTCACTGCTATGACAGTAAGAGCACAGAAAAGGGTAGAGGGGAGAGTGGCTAAGAGACCAGACCAGGAGGTAGGTTGGACTCAGATTGAAGGGCCTTATCAGCTTCAGTAATGAGTTCAGATTCCTTTTTCCTGCAGGGGCGGGAGGTGCATTTTGAAATTTTTTTAAGCCAGATAGTGATGGCCTCAGATTTGTGACCTAGAAAGATCCTGCTAACTTCGGGATGCAGAGAGCAGGTGTATCTGTGCACGACTGCATGCAGGAGCTTGCTTACACACACACATACACACACACACACACACACACACACACACACACACACACGTGTGCATCCACAGCTGCCTGTGATGTGGGGAACCTTCCCACAGTGCGAGTATGTTCTAGCATACACATGTGTGCATGAGGCAAGGGACCCAGCCCCTGTTCCCTTCTGGACACTGCTGCCTCTCCAAAATGCCTCCTATGCACCTCAGAAACACAAAGGGAACTGTGTGAGCCAATCAATGTCCCTTCACATCATCTCCTGGCCTCGCCTGCCCTACTGTGTGAGCTCTGCTGACCCCAGATCCCTTACCCAGGATGCACACACACTCTCCACCCTCCCTGAGGCTTCTGCTTAGAACCTGCCCCCAGGGACTCACAAGTACCAGGAGGAAGTGCCCAGCACCAGGCATATTTGTGGGGAGCCCAGGGCCTGGTTGTTGGAGCAAGGACATGCCTTGAGGGCTCAGGGCAGAGGGCTGAACCTCAGACATTACTCCCTGCTGCCTCCTTCCCGAAGCCACTTCCCTAGGGTATTGAAAATAGGACTCTAGGATAAGTAGAACATTTGGGGGAGCAGGGCTCTTGCATAAATCGGCCTCCATTACCTGCCTCAGTCTTCCCTGCTTTGCAGCTTCTCCAGGTACCTTTGGGACTGAAGCCCTGTTTAAACCTTTCCCCATCTGCCCGAGCTGAGGCCCCTGGTCCAGAGTGGCCTCATTAGCATCTCTAAAAAGGCAAAGGTTGCATTCCTTCTCACCCCAAATCCAGCCACTGTTGTTTCATTTGCTTCTCACAGCAATCCTGGGGGTGGGTTCTCAGCTCTGTCTCTGAGAGGAAGAAAAAGACTCAAAGGTTCTGTGGATGCTCAGTTACCTGCAAATTCCCTGCAGAGTCAGAAGTCAGACCCCCAGACCCTGAATCCCAGTCATTCATTCCCTGAGACTCGGGTGGGTGAACATGTTCGGAGCACTTTCTATGTGCCAGGTGTTTTGCCAGTCCTCAGTGAAAAGGGTTCCTATTGCCATTTCCAAGTGAGGGGCCCTAGAGGTGACGTCACCTGCTCAAGGTCATACAGCTCCTAAGTCATACAGCTACTAAGCTAGAACTGGAACTCAGTTCTGCCTGTCTCCAAGTCCAGTCCTCTTTGCACAGTTCTTCCCTGCCTCTTGGCTACATCCATCGATCAGCTAGGCGAGGCTTTTAGGAGACAAAATGAACAAGGCCTGATTCAGTGTCATAACGGCAATAGACACTAGTTAATGCAATGATACAATTATGTGCGGGATTGTGTAGAGACAAGAGGGCAGCTGACTCTATTGGAGAGGGGAGGGGTCAGGAGGACTTCCTGAAAGAGGTGGCCCTTAAGTTGCTCCTTGAAAGATGAGAAAGCAGGAGACTGCAGTGTAGGTGGGGGAAATGGTGTGAAAAAAACATGGAGGTAAGACCCTAAGGAGCCACAAAACTACATTGTGTAGGTTGCCTGGGTCACAGGTGCTGAGACCTAGAGCTGGCTAGGCTGGGCAGGACCCAGCAGTGGGGCTCCAATATCACTCTAAAGCATTCAGACTTGATTCTGCTTGTCATAGAGAGGCATCCCAGAGGCTAACATGTATTCAAATCACTGTATTCTAGAAGGTTGTTTTTATGTATCAGTAGATGGTGGACCCAAAGAGCAAAGCCTGAGGGGTCTTTTCATCTCTGTGTCCTCTCTGCCAAGGAAATGCTTGTTGAATCTGAATATAGGGAGAGACCAAATCTCTTACAAAATCACTCAGGTCTAAGAGTCAGAGGAAGCAAAGGCCCAGGTGAGCTCTTATCTCCCACACCCTCTGCTAACTGTAGCCTGCCCCTCCTACCAGACCCAGCTTTGATGTACTTCCTGCTGGAAGCCCCACTTGATGAAACACACATAGAACTCCATCAAGATCGAGTCCAGAGTCCATCATTTACCACCTAATCACTTCCTAGTTATTTCTTTTATTCCCTAGGATGCCACAAGAATTTCAGGAGGCTTTCGAAAAAGAATTCAAACAATAAAATTAAATATTGAGCTGTCAGAAAAGTCATGACGTATTTTTTCTGTTTTTTTTTTTTGTTGCAAAAATGCATCATGACTTTTCCAACAACCCAAGAGAATAAGTAAGAAAAAAAATTAGTGGGCGGGGAGCAGCCGGTTAGCTCAGTTGGTTAGATCACGATGCTCATAACACCAAGGCTGCTGGTTCGATCCCCACATCGGCCACTGAGTTGCGCCTTCCACAACTAGATTGAAACAACTACTTGACTTGGAGCTGATGGGTCCTGGAAAAACACGCTGTTCCCCAATAAAATTTAAAAAAAAACTAATTTAAAAAATTGGTACCAGATGACGTTCATTAAAGTTGAAAAAAAAAACAGAATATGAATGGATGAGGCTTTATTGCTAAGGGATGAGCCTTCTTCCATCTGGTTCCGAGCTTCCCAGCAGCCAGTGCAGAGAGAGAGAGAGAGAGATGACACCATTCTCACAGCAAGAAAAAAGGAAACAGTCCCTGCGGAAAAGCAACGCTTTCCCTCACTCTTCACAATCACTGGGGGATTCATTTGGGGAGGACCGAGTATTCAAGTGTTTAAGGGCAAAATAGTGAAAGTTGCGGAAGAAGTTTTAGTTGGTTCCTGTGGATGGAAGCTGCGGGTACAAAACCTCCAGTGTTTGTAGCAGGGAGGAAATGCTCCGAGGTACTTACTGACCCGGAGCCTCCTTTTCTGCATCAGGAAAATAGGTCAGTCTTTCTCTGACTGCCTCAAAAATACCGTGCGCATTCACTTCGGAAGCCGAGCAAGCTCATAAACAAATACTACATGTTATGATTAGAGCTTGGTGGAGTTCAGAGTGGTCAATTGATTTGCCTGAAGTCACACAGCAAATGAGTGCTAAGGTCCAGAATTTCTTTGAGTCTCGAGTACCTTATCTACAAAATGGGGGCCAAGATGGGTAGATTACAAAGATTAGGGGAGATAAGGGAGGTTGAAGTCACCTCTTCATGAGACAATGTGCCCTGGACTCCCGTATGGAGCTGGTTTGTGCCCTAGAGGATACTGGGAAGAGAGGAGGAAGTGCTGGGGGGCTGGTGAGAGAGAGTGGCGTAGAAAGTGAGCCCTCCTTCTCCATGCTTTCCCTGTTCCAGCCTATCTGCTAAGCTGTGGCTTCCCTCCCCGGCCGGCCCATGGGGATGTGAGCGTGACAGACCTGCACCCTGGGGGCACTGCCACCTTCCACTGTGACTCAGGCTACCAGCTGCAGGGCGAAGAGACCCTCATCTGCCTCAATGGCACCCGGCCAGCCTGGAGCAGTGAACCCCCCAGCTGTTTGGGTGAGTCTCCTGCCATGATAGGTGAGGGCTTCTGTCCTGAGACCCTCACCCGAAGGGTCTTATCTTGGGACAGAAGGGTCCTATCTTGGGGGGGTCTCCATCTTTGGGGAATACACATCTTGAAGGGGTTTCTACCCTGAAGAGTTGCTATCCTGGGGTCTCCATCTGGAGCTCTTTACACTGAGGGTCTCTATCCTTGGGGTCTCCATTGTTGGGGGGTTTCCATCGGGGATGTCCCATCTGGAAGGTTTCTATTTTGGGGGTCACCATTCTGGAGGTCCCTCCTTTTGGAGACTCCCCATCCTAGAGGAAGCTATTTTGGGGGTCTGTATCTGGAGGGTCTCTGTCCTGGAGAATCTTCATCCTGGGGTCTCAACTTGAAGATTTTCCACCTGAGTGCTTCAATTAGGGGATTCCTCACAAATCCCCATCCCAGGGTGTCCACCCTGGGGTTTTTCTATTCCACATCTGGGTCGCTACCTTGGGGGGTGGCCTAGAAAGGGTCCTGTCCTCTGGGGTGAGCCTTGGGGGCAGAGGCCATCCAGAGGCCAGGTCCCAGGAAAAGTGTGGATGCGACAGCTCTGAATTTGGAAGACAAGTCACCCCAATCTGCCCCTTCTCTGCCCACAGCTTCCTGTGGTGGCACCATCCACAACGCCACACTGGGCCGCATTGTGTCCCCTGAGCCTGGGGGAGCTGCAGGGCCCAACCTCACCTGCCGTTGGGTCATTGAGGCAGCTGAGGGACGCCGGCTGCACCTGCACTTTGAGAGGGTCTCCCTGGATGAGGACAATGACCGGTGAGGGTCTAGGCCTTGGGTCAGAGGTCCCCACTTCTGGGAAATAGAGAGGCTGCAGTGGGGAGTCGGACAGACCCGGGGTGGGTCCCAGTTGGGATCTGTCAAACACGGGTTAGTCCTTCCCCTTTCCTAGGCAGCATAGCTGTGCAAATTTAGATGAATCGCTTAATCTTTCTGTACCTCAGTTTCCTCATCTGGAGAATGGAGATAATAGTGCCTCCCTCTCAAGGTTTCTGTGAGAATAAATGCAGTAAGATCTATAAAGTTCTAGCATGGTGCCAAAAATGCAATCAGCTCTATGAATGTGTTTGCCATGTCATTGTCATTATTATCATCCTTTATCTAACAGAGTGTCATCTCCGCTCTGCTAGCAGCGGCTGTGTGATGTTGGGCAGCTTAATGGATCTTTCTGTGCCTCAATGTCCTCATCTAAACAATGAGAGATAATAATAGTATCTGACTCATGGGTTCTTGGGAGAATTAAACAAGATAAAATGTATAAAGGCTTAAAAAACTACATGTTTGAAAATTATTGCTATGAAGAGAAGTTAGAGGAGCAGACAAGAGGTGAGGCACCTTCTGAGGGGAAACTGAGCTCCCGGCCCCCCTTCTGTCCCTCCCAGGCTGATGGTGCGTTCAGGGGGCAGTCCTCTGTCCCCAGTGATCTACGACTCTGACATGGATGATGTCCCAGAGCGAGGCCTCATCAGTGACGCCCAGTCCCTCTATGTGGAACTTCTTTCAGAGACACCTGCCAATCCCCTGCTGCTTAGCCTCCAGTTTGAAGGTAACTGCCCTCCCTCTTGGGCCCCAGCTTCTTCTCCTTTCTGGATGCCCAGGTGGGGTCACAAGCACATACTCTGTCCCTGCTCATCTCCGTGTTTGGAGCCCTGAACCCCAACTTACCTCCCCACCCCTTCATAGGGACTCCCTTCCAATTCCCTGAGGTGGCCTTTTCTATCAAAGCGTCATGTATGGCTGGATCCAGGTACACAGCCAAGGGGCCACTTACCTTAATCTCTCAGTTCTTTCCTCTGTGTTATCTTCATTCTCATGCAATCTCAGTCAGTGGTGGACCTAGCCATTCAGATTGACATACCATCCACTTAGTAACTCCATCAGAAAGAGAGACAGCAGACCACTTTCCTAAAAGCTTCGGCTAAAATGCCAGGAAATGTTCTCATCGCCCTGGGTTAGGTCATGTGCCTGTGCCTGCGCCAATCACTGGAGCGAGGGGCAGGTGGTGGTATGTTGGGCAGGTCCATCCCTAGTTGACCCCACCTGAACCCCACCTGGGCTAGAAGTGGAGGAGCTGTATGTGCCAAAATGAATATAGTATTACTCTTATCTGCCAGAAGAAGGGGGATTGGATGATGATGGACAGACAGGTAGAAACAAGGAAGTCAGTGATCCTGGAAGAAGAGGCATTTGAGCTGGGCCTTACAGCACAGAGAGAATTTTAAAAGAGGGAGATTAAGAATTAGCATTTCAGGGCTGGCCGAGTGGCGCATTGGTTAAGGGTTGGCTTGGGAGTGTGAGCTCTGAGCAGCAGGGCCCCGGTTCGGATCCCACATGAGGGCCAGTGATGCTGCGCCCTCTACAGCTAAGATGGTGAACAACAGCTCAACCTGGAGCTGGGCTGCCATGAGTCGACGGCGACAGCATAGGCTGCAGCGGGGCTGCAGTGGGCGGCTGTGAGCTACCATGAGTGTCTGGCAGCCAGCATGAGCAGCCAGCAGACAGTGAGAGCTGCCGTGAGCTGTGCTGAGCAGCCGGCCAATGGCCGGCGACAGAGTACCTCACCCGGGAAGAGCACAATGATAATACCAACATGGGCCAGTGAAGCGATGTCCTCCACAACTAGACTGAAGAACAAAAAGGATAGCAACTTATCTGTCCCCCTTCCCCTATTCTCCAACACTGTTCCCCTCCCCCAATTCCCCAGTAAAAAGTCTTAAAAAAAAAAAAGAATTAGCATTTTAGGCAAAAGGAACAATATGAGCAATGATAAACAGGTAGAGAAAAGCTCGCTATGTTTGGGAAACAGAATTTCAGTGTGGCTAGAGCAGAGGAGATGTGCAAACAGTAGCAGAAAAGAGACAGACAGTGAAATGCTCACATGGGAGGGGTTAGTTCCTGGTAAGAATCAAGGGAGAAATGGAATTGGCACTGGGCCCTGATGGACATGTAGGATTTGGACATGACACCTTATTAGGCTAAGTAACAGTGAAAGAGACAGTGGATCTGAGAAATAAATTGCATGTCAGATGCTGAGAGTGCGAAGAGAATTCCAAGGTTTAGGGTCTGCCTCCATAGCTGTGGGCCACTGGTGCTCCATGAACTTCAGATTCCTCTTGTATCACAGGAACCTGAGCCTACCTCACAGGTAGTTTTGCAGCTAAGGTAGGATCAGGTGGGCACAAACAAAAATGCTCCACAAATGTTCAATTTGGGCAACGTAGCCCAAAGTCAAACCCCAGTAGCTTTTGTGTTAGGTGCACTTTTGGATTCGAGCCACAGCCTAGATAATCAGGGGTTATTAGAACCCAGCTATTATTTTTGAGGAGAAAACAAACCTACACAAGCCAGTTCTCCAAAGGCACCTCCTCTTACCTCCCCCTGCCCCCCCTCCCCGACTCCTTTGCAGGTTCCAGGGCCAAGTATTTCTGGGTGGGAATCAAGCATTCTGGGTTTGAGATGTGGGTCTGCCCCCGCCCTACTGTGTGACATTGAGCAAGTGGCTTTTTGTCTGTGGACCTCAGTTGTCTCAGCTGTAGAATGGTGGCTGGGATTTGACTACCCTAGGTGTTTCCCTCCAGAGGTCAGGGAGGTAACATAAATGTGTGAATGAGGAGTGTTAGGGTTATGGGGAAACTGGACTGTGAAAGTGAAGTCCAAGGGCATTCAATTTTAAACAGCTCACTGCGTAGCCAAACAACACTTGAATTCAGCCCAACCCCCACCCCCACCCCCACCCTGGTTTGTGACCCCTCAGGCCTGTCCTAATGCTTCATGTCTGTGACTGACTCCTCTGTAGCCTTCGAGGAAGATCGCTGCTTTGCCCCCTTCCTGGCACATGGCAATGTCACCACCACAGACCCTGAGTACCACCCAGGGGCACTGGCTACCTTCTCGTGCCTCCCAGGATATGCCTTGGAGCCCCCTGGCCCTCCCAATGCCATCGAATGTGTGGATCCCACAGAACCCCACTGGAATGACACAGAACCTGCCTGCAAGGGTGAGCCCTCTGTATTCCCACCAAGTCCTTTGGTATCCAGACTAGCCTGAGTTGGGAATCCTAGGAAGGTCCTTCGAGAAGGAGACCTGCGTATCCAAACCTAATGAACCCAGGCCTTGGGTAAATCCCTGTCCCTTTCAGAGAGTCTGTTTCCTTAGTTAAATAATTGGTGGACTGGATACAGAATTCAAGGGTCACCACCCAACTGTCTCCAAGAGCTAGAAGTGGAGTTGGGCTAAGTCAGGGATTGGATGGGGAGTGGGCGGGGTTAATTCAGAGCAGGGTTGGGGATTGGGCACGGCAGGACGAGGTGTGGCAAGGGACTGGTGGGTCTCAGACCATAGTAAACCTGGGAGGGGTCTGGTGCAGACAGCTGGGAGTGGTGAGGATTGGTGAAATGGAGACTGCATGTCCACCTGCGTCCTGAATCCCATACCCCTTGTACCCCAGCCATGTGTGGAGGGGAGCTGTCAGAGCCCGCGGGTGTGGTCCTCTCACCGGACTGGCCCCAGAGCTACAACCCAGGCCAGGACTGCGTGTGGGGCCTACATGTCCAGGAAGAGAAGCGCATCTTGCTCCAAGTTGAGATGTACGTTTGGGTGCCGCAGAGGGTGCCATGGGTCTGGGTCCAGCAAAGTGTGAGACCATGACACACCAGCCTGCATTCTGAGCCTGCTTGGCTCACGCAGTCACACAAGATTCGGTGACTATCCAGTCTGATGAAAGAGGAGACCAAAGGCTCAGGATGGGGATGTCTGTTGTCAGGTGGACTTAGGTACAAATCACTTATTAGCCAGGCGGCCTGGGACAAGTAAGTGGGGTAATGCAGCCTTCCTCGGGGGCTATTGTGAAAAAGGGGGTCTATCCCCGTGTCACTCTGGCTGCTTCTGAGGGCACCTCTGGACCGTTTTCCAGAGACCTAAGCCCAAGCATCATCACCAGCACGTTAAGTGGGTGTGGGGTAATCCAGTGAGCTGATTTGGTATGAGGTGGTCACATGACTGGGCAGCACCAGAGATAGGCGTGGCCCAAAAGCAGGTCCTCAGCCGGGGCCTAGAGTTGGGCATGGCGGTAAATAAGCATGGTCTGTGATTGGTCAGTGCTGGCACTGTGTTAGGCTGTGCATCACCTGGTGATGGAGGAGGGCCCCGAGAGGGGTTGGGGATTGGGAAGCAGGAACTCCGAAGGGCCACAGAACTAGTGGAACCTGGAAAGACTAGCATGGGGTAGGGGGTTGTGGGGCGGGGCTGGAGACTAGGCAGGGTTAAGAATGAATGAATGGAGTTAGGGATTGGGCCGAACCGGATTGTGGCCCAGCCGCCATATCTGGTCCTACTCCCTGCAGCTTGAATGTGCGCGAAGGGGACATGTTGACCCTGTTTGATGGGGACGGTCCCAGCGCCCGCGTCCTGGCCCAGCTGCGAGGACCTCAACCGCGCCGCCGGCTCCTCTCAACTGGGCCCGACCTCACCCTGCAGTTCCAGGCACCGCCCGGACCCCCAAACCCGGGCCTTGGCCAGGGTTTCGTGTTGCACTTCAAAGGTACCGAGGTCTAGGGTCCCGAGTGGGGCAGGGGGCCGGCAGGCCAGAGATCCCAGGAGGAGGAAGGGCGCCCTGAGTCGAACAGCCTCCAAACTCGCCGTCTCTCCCCTGCAGAGGTCCCGAGGAACGACACGTGCCCCGAGCTGCCACCTCCGGAGTGGGGCTGGAGGACGGCTTCCCACGGGGACCTGATCCGGGGCACAGTGCTTACTTACCAGTGCGAGCCTGGCTACGAGCTGCTCGGCTCCGACATTCTCACCTGCCAATGGGACCTGTCCTGGAGCGCAGCGCCACCCGCCTGCCAAAAGAGTGAGTGGGGGGCCCAGTCCCAGTCCTCTCCTAGCTCCGCCTCTGCCCTTCTGGGTAGCGGCGCACCGCTTGGGCCGCGTCCACTCCCCTCTGCGCCCCGCCTGCGTCCCTTCTTGTCCCGCCCCTGGCCTGTCCTGGTTCCACCCCTTCGCTCTGGGTCCGCTTTGATCTTCCTCAGGCCCCGCCACCAGGCGGGGTTCCACTCCTTTACTCCTGGAAGCACCAAAACGGCCCCCTCTGGGCGTCACTCTCATCTTCGCCGGGCTGCGTCCTTCTCTCTGCTACTGTTTTGGGCTAGACCCATTTTCCTCTGGGTCCCTCCTCATTTCTTGGCCCCGACTCTGCCCCCTCTGAGTTCCACCCCTCCCGGCCCCGCCCCATCAATTCCTGGCCGCGCTCTTTCTGTTCTAGGTCCGCGCCAGTCTCTCAGTGCCCCACACTTGACATTACAGGGAGTCACTTTTGCTAGGGCCTGGGCAGTTATTGACGCCCATGCTGGGTTGGGGCTGGGGTTATGCGGAAGGACTGGGGACCCTCCCTTCGCTGTTGGAGCTCAGCCTGGGAGGGGGACAGATAGTTAAAACAACTCAGGATATGACAGAGTGGTAACTCAAGAAGGTACTTAACACCTCTGAGCCTTGGCTTCCTCCTCAGCGAAGTAGGAAGAGGGGTTGAGAGGAGCCAAGGAAAAGTTTTTCACACACTGCCTGGTGCGTGTGAACAGTAAGTGGTAGCTGCTATAAGTGTGAAGAAGGGCTGTGGGAAGAGGGGTGGGCTATTGTCCCAGGGAGGGGGCAAGAGATTTCACAGAGGCGATGGCATTTAGAAGAGATTTTATCTTTTAGAAGAGCAGAAAGGGGTGACATCTTGGCACTTTCTTCCAGTTTGGGAGAGCCTGTTACAAGGCTATGGGGTTGTAGGTCTCCCACTGGCACCTGGGGCAATGGTGGGGCTGGTGAGCATAGGTTTTGGGAAGCCAGGTTTGGGTCAGACACAAGGAAAACTTTCTTGTTGACACAGTTCCCCATCTCTGGGAGGAGTCATAGGGTGTCCAGTCTGGAACCCAGACAGGACAGGAAGGGATGGAGGCAGGGCCCAGAGGGAATAGGGTCTGGCCCAGGTGCCCCAGGCTCAGGAAGGAGCCTGCCCAAAGAGGCACCCTGAGCCTGAAGCTGGGACCCCAATCTCTGAACCTCAGCCCAGCCCTCTGAAGCTGTGACCTTGAGTGGTTCTAGCTCTGCCACTTTGTCTGAGTGACCATGGGCCCATTATTTGACTGGTTTGGGCCCCAAGGCAAATGACAGTGACACTGACCCCTTGGGATCATCAGGCTATATGATATCATGTTTGTAAAACATTTAGCAGGGTGCCTTGCACAAGTCTACCTACAAGAAATGGCTTTGCTTGTGACTTGAACTCCTGCAGGAGCTAGGCAGGCACTGTTAGTGAGCAGGATGGGCTGGGAATGACAGAATGTAGGGGAGCAGAGGGCCTGGGTCCCCCTAAAAGAGGGCAGCTGCTCTTCTGCTGGTAATCTGCCATGTAGGGCTGACACTACTGGGATGTGACCAATATGCTCTGGTATGCTGGTTAAGTATTTAAAATTTCACTGGAGGATGGGGCCCAGGGTGCCCCAATCACTCTGTCTTCCCAAAGAAGTCTGAAATATAAAATGCACTGAAATATAAAATGCCCTGACCTAGCCTGCCTGCCAACAGTCATGACTTGTGCCGACCCTGGTGAGATCACCAACGGGCACCGTACCACCTCGGATGCTGGCTTCCCTGTGGGCTCCCATGTCCAGTACCGCTGTCTGCCAGGGTACAGCCTTGAGGGGGCGGCCGTCCTTACCTGCTACAGCCGGGACACTGGCACGCCCAAGTGGAGCGACCGGGTCCCCAAGTGCGCCTGTGAGTCTGGGGACCCCTGGGAAGGGTGGCTGGGTGGCCTGCTCAGCAGCACAGGTGAAACATGACTGACACATCCCCTGCAGTAAAGTACGAGCCATGCCTGAACCCCGGGGTACCAGAGAATGGCTATCAGACGCTGTACAAGCATCATTACCAGGCGGGCGAATCTCTGCGCTTCTTCTGCTATGAGGGTTTTGAGCTCATCGGCGAGGTCACCATCACCTGTGTGCCCGGCCACCCCTCACAGTGGACCAGCCAACCCCCACTCTGCAAAGGTGCCTGGGCAGACAGGGCAGGAGGGGGCACAGCAGTGTCCAGGGAGTGACAGGGCTGAGGAAATCAGGTACCAAAGTTGAGAGCAATGGTAACCCTGCCAAGCTCCCCCTTCACCTCCTGTGGGCTCTAATCCTCATGGATCCATCAGGAAGTCCTTGGGAAGTTCAAGGGCATGGAATTACCCGAAGGGATGTAGTAGAATGGGCTTTGGTTTCAAAGTCCCTTGCCCTCTGGATAGGTGTCAGTTTCTCTATTTTTTGACAAATTCTAAAGACCTGATTGGTGTAGACTGCCTGGGATTAGGAACCCTGAACTTTTAGGGATCTGCAGGAGAAGAAAGAAGGTCCCGCCCGGACTCCTCCTCTCCAATCCCCACCCTGGGAAAGATAAGGTTTAGGTTGAGTGGAGGGCAGAGAGATCTAGGCTGTCCAGCCCAGCCCCACTGGGCTCCCGGCCCCCCACCCTGCCTCCTTCCCTCCCTGGCTCAGACCCCGTCCCCTCCCCCTCCTCTCCCTGCAGTGGCCTATGAGGAGCTCCAGGACAACCGAAAACTGGAAGGTCAGTGAGGACCCAGGTGGAGACCCAGGCCTGGCCGAGTCGGGAAGGCAAGGCAGAGGCTGGGGGCAGGAGGCCTGGCCCCTGAGCCCGGCTCCAGCTCACTGGCCTCTCCTCACCCCGCAGTGACCCAGACCACAGACCGGTCCCGGCAGCTGGAGGGTGGGAACCTGGCCTTGGCCATCCTGCTGCCCCTTGGCCTGGTCATTGTCCTCGGCAGTGGCGTTTACATATACTACACCAAGTGAGTGCCGCATGCTCGCATGCTCGTGTCCTTAGGAGCTGCTGGGATCTCCTGCCTCCAGGTGCAGAAGCCTGGGAGAGGGGGTTGGGGGCTCGCCTCCCGATAAGCCTCTCTCTGTCCTCCCGTTCCCAGGCTGCAGGGAAAATCCCTCTTCGGCTTTTCGGGCTCCCATTCCTACAGCCCCATCACCGTGGAGTCCGACTTCAGCAATCCACTATATGAAGCTGGGGTGAGCCCTCCCCTGCCCCTACAGTGCCACATCTCCTAGCTCCCCCAGGACTCCATCAGCTTCTCTCAGGGTCTCTGTAATCTCTGTCCCGGGAATTCCAAACTCAGTTGCCAACAAGGCCACATCAATGAACAAAGCAAGTCAGGCGTACAGTAGGGAACAGGGAGGACTGAGGTTCACTGGAGAATTTGTGCCACAGCGAGTCCGCAGTGGAAACAGGCCCAACTGCCAGATTGTTCAAGACAGTCCAGAAATTCAGATTTTCATGAAAATTTTAAGATACTGTAGGATGAACCAAACATAGGCATTGGCCAGATTTGGCCCCATTCCCACCCCTTGGCCCCCAAACCCCCAGTGATGTTCTTTTAAAAATCCAGGGGCTCTCCCCATCCTTGCGGCCGCTCCCATTTTGCTGCCTCCTCTACCCTCATCCCACTCCAGCAACTGACCCCATCTCTCCGTCTCCAGGATACACGGGAGTATGAAGTTTCCATCTGAACCCCAAGACTAAGGCTGCAGGACCCAAGAAGCCCCTCCCCTCCTCATTCTGGGCAGGGAGTACAGGACCTGGCCTCTGGCTCCTTTTCTCCCTGCTGTGTAAATAGTTTCCCCAGTCTTACAAGGGGGCTTGGATGGCCCTGGGGACCCTACAGTAAATAAACCAGCATCCTGCGGCCCAAAGCCTCCTGTTCTCAGTTGCCAAACAAAGGGCCCACCCCACCCCACCCTCCTGGCTTTTGGACTCTGGCAGGGGAACTCAGCTCCCCTGCAACTCCTGGGGGCCCTCCAGCCCAGGGTACCCCCACAAGGACTGCCCCGGAGAGCTCTGCTGTTCCCTTGGCCACGAAGGCTCTTCCCTTCCCAGATGCTCTGGCCCCAGGCCTAAGCCCTGGGCCTCAGAGGATCAGAAGGGAAGGAGGGGAGAGCTGGGACAAGACCCCTACCCGCTTCCTGCCATCTCCCCAACCTACAGTCTCTCCACTTTTGCTTCTGTATTTTTGTTTTTGAGCAATAAACAGAAAATCGCCATTTGTAACTGGGCTGGTGGGGTGTGGGAAGGTGGGTTAGATGGGGTAGGAGACGGTGGCAGTGGCCTCTCTGGAGACAGGGCTTGGGAAAGAGGAACAATTTGGGGGAAAAAGATGGAAATCTAAGAGTGGGCCCCCTGGGGGAAATGCCAAGGAGTCAAAAAGCCTGGCTTTATGGTCAGCTTCTGTGGAGCACCCACTGGGACAAGTCCCCTGTGGGCCTCAGGTCTCTCTCCACCAGGGCTTAACATTTCTAAGCTCTTCCAGCCGGGAGAGCGCCACCTCTCTGCCCTTACCATTTGGCAGGAGGCCAACAGCTCTCACTGTTTCATGACCAGTTTACCTAAAATTCAACCCCCTTTTGAGAATTTCTGTATCGATCCAATTGTACCATCTTCTCCACTCCCCGCCCCCCAATCTTTTTGGCATTTAAGCGTCTCTGCTGTTACAGGTCAACCAAGTATTAGTCATATTTGTAGCACTTCCTAAGCAATGAGCTTGTTTTGTATCCTGTGTCCTTTTCTAGTTTATCTACGTTTGAACATGATAAGGAATGTATAGCTTGTTTGTCTAAAGAGTTTTTTTCCTCAGTTGGTTAAGAGCTTGCTCAAGAGTTTGAGCTCTGAGCAACAGCGGTTCGATGCCAGCCAGAGCTGAGCAGCCGCTAAGCTACCAATAGGTAGCAGGATGGCTCAGCTAAAAAAAAAAAAAAAAAAAAAAAAGAGTTTTTTTCTCCAAGGGAATTGAACTTTACTTCATTACAATTTTACATTTAAATACAGTTAAACATTCAGGACACTCAAAAGGATACTGAAATACTCCAAAGGGGGTTGAACTTTAGGAGAACACAAGGCACATTGACCTTGATAATGGCTTAAGTTTGGGGGTGTTGATTCTATGCCATGCACTGTGTTAAGCCAGCACTTTGTGGACATGATGGTTTTAACCTTCACAAGGACCCTGCGTGGCAGGGACAATGATTCCCATTTTCAGATAAGGAAACAGGCTCAGAGATGTGAGCTCACTCCATCAGGAAGCTACCCTAAGTGGCCAGGCTGGGATGTAAAGCCTCAGCCTGGTAACGGACATGGTTTATTCCCATCAGCATGAGACCCCAAAGCTCAGGGCGGAGACCTCAGCACTGATGTTGGTGGCAGAGGTGGCACCTCAGAAGCAAGGGTGGGCCCGTGTCAGATGCCACAGGCCTAGACCTTGAGGTACTGAAGTTCGGCTAGGAGGCCGGGTGGGGATCCGTGAACTCACCTCTGCCAGCAAGGTGACACGTAACGGCCTGAGTTAAAGCCATTCTAATAATATGCCGTTCCGATAATATGTCCACACATCAGGGGAAAAAAACAAAAAAAAAGTCACTCATCCCATGTCTCCACGCCAAAGAAGTCACACCATGGCACTGCCTGGGTTGGCAGGAGGGAAGGATCTCTGTCTCTTTATTTAAGCCTGGTCTTGTGGTGGCAACCTTGCCAGCTGAGGGTGAAAAGGTGTGTGATGGTTCCAGAACATTTTGGAGGCTTCAGGGGTGATGCTGCTCATGACCAGGAGTCCCCACACAAACCAAAGGGACTAATGAGTTGTGGAAGAGGAGCCCTGAGACAAGTTCTAGAGAGACAGAATGGCGGGGAGGGGAGGGTATGAGAGGCCAAAGGCAGCACCCAAGAAAGCTGGCTCATCCTCCAGACGTGAAGCTGCCGGGCAGAGCTCCCTAGGGAAGGAAAGAGGCTTTGATTCTTTAGACATCCCCGTCCCCTCCGCAACGCTCATGTCCTTTTATTCTTCCATCCTTCATCTATCCATCCAACCCCATCCTCCACCCATCCATCTATCCACCCACCATTCCCTGTCTATCCATCTACCCATCCACCCACCATTCTGCTTGCTTCCATCCATCCATCCATCCATCCATCCATCATCCATCTATCCACACTTCCACCCACCATTCCCCATCCATCTTCCCACTTATCACCTGTCTGCCCACCCATCTAGCCCTCATTCATCCACCCTAACACTCATCTCTCTACCATCTAATCACTCGTTACCACCCTCCATTTAAATTTCCTGAAGGCAGAGACTCTATTTTGCTCACTTCTATACTCCAGCCCCTAGAGCAGTGCTGGCACATTACAGTGCTTAGTAAACATTCAATGACTTTATCCATTTATTAGCCCATTTACCTACTCCCCAATCCAGTCACCCATTCCCCCACCCAATATTGTTGACCACCTACAATGCCCTGCAATTCAAAGATCTGTAAGCTTCCATATTCTTTCTTGAGAGGAGGAAGGAAAAGTCTCTTGAGACGGGGCGGGGTGGGATGGTGGGTGCTGGCAGGTGGGTGAGGGGGTGTTTTGCCCACGGCCCCCATTTTACACATGGGGAAAAGGGAAGCCACATGCACACGACTATCAAGTGAATAGCAAATTACCTATTCAGGCCCAGGGCTGCTTCCCACACCAAAGCCCAACTGGGAGACACCACATGTCCCAAAGGTACCAGAAAGTCAGTTCCTTGAGGACAAGAACAGGGGCTTGTTGTCACCTGTATTTGCCTCTGGTCTTGGTCATGAACATGTGACATAGCAGCCCCTGACTGTCCCCATGGCCTGCTGGACCTGGCACCCATAAACAGACACTCAATAATAGACATCCAATAAACATTTGTTGACTATCAGTTCCTTTTCCACCTTCATCATGAACCCCACTCTTCTCCTCTGCCAACCCCTTACAAGAGGTTCTCCAGGGCTCCATCCTCAGCGCCCTCTTCTTTCTCACTCAGCATAACCCCTACCCTCACCCCAGTCCTGGGCAACCATGCACCCTTCCACTGCCAACTCCCTCCTAGATCAGATCTCTATCACCAGTCCAGACCACTCTAGCGAGTTTGAAGCCATATTTCCAACTGTCTACAGGGTATTTCCATCTGGAGTTTCCATGAGCACCTCAAGTTCAATCTGTCCAAAAGAGGGCTGGATGGCTGCCATGCCCCACGGGGTGGTGGAAACCAGGGGAGCAGTTCCAGAAAACAAGGTCGAGGTCAGAGAGGCAATGCGGTGGGGGAAGAGAGAGATCCTGTAGGGCTTTGTAAGCCATTGGAGGACTTTGGCTTTTACTCTGCAGTGTGTAACCATTGTAGAGTTTTGAGTAGATGCATGACATGATCAGACTTCGATTACCCAAGTCAGAAACCCAGGCGCCATCTGATTCCTGCTTTTTTCCACCCCCTGCCATTTCTAATCAATTACCAAACTCAATCTTCCTGGTCTTTATTTCTTATATCTGCCCCTGCTCTCATCTCTACTATTACTGTGACTATTCAGGACCCGATCATCTCTAGCTTAGTCTCTTGGAGTAATTCCTAACCGGCCTCCCTGCCTCTAGTCTCTCCCCTTTCAAGTTCACTCTCCCTATTGACAACCAGATAAAAAATTCCTACCTCCTTTGCTCAAAGCTCTTCAATGGCTGCATAGCTAGGAAAACATCTATGGGTCTTAATCAGGCACATATAAGTTTCCTTGATTTGTCCCTAGCTACATCGCCTGCATACTCCAGCAGTTAAACTGCTTCTGGTCCCACTGTCTCCCCTGCCCTAAGAACACACACATATACTCACACTCACCCTACAGACTCACACAGTCTCACCTCTGTGGCTTTGCTCTGCCCCTGGGAATACCCCTACCAACTCATGTTTTTTTTTCCTGGAAAATTCTCTCTGGAGTTGTCACATCCTCCAGGAAGCTCCATGGTTCCTTTCCTTTCTGTCCCATCTGAGGCTGGGATAAGTGCTTACCTGGCTGTTTCCATTTCTGTTATGGGCACTCATTCATATTATAATGGACCATTCACTGGACTGGCCCCACACTAAACTGTGAACTCTTCACGACAGAGACTGTATCATTCCTTTCTCTGTCCCAAGTCCCTAAAAGAAGGGCTGGTATATCGTGCAAACTCTACATGTTTGCTTAATACTAAATGGCCTGGTCATCCAGGGACCATTACATACCTTGTCACGGGGGGAATGGCAGGAGGTGTGCCTTGGTGTGGGTACGGTTTCTGTCAGAGCTAGAGGTGGCAGAGAGAACGGAGAGGGCTGAGAATGCTGAACTCGAGGGTCAGAGCAGAATACAAGAGAACTGCCTGGTTGAAAAATCCCCCTTCCTTGCTCGGATGTTGTCAAGCCCTCACTCCCTCCCCTGTAAGCTCCTCATCTTTCTCCCAGGACAAAGGGCAGCTCCCTTGAAGCTTCACTCACCGGGTGTCGGTGCCTTGGGTGTTGGTGAAGAATACTGGAAGTAGAGGTCCCAGTCACAGAAATTACCATCCCCATAGCCCGGAAGAGATGTGGCTGGGGAGGAAGGGGCTGATTCCTGGCCAGCAGTGAGGGGTGGGTACTGGGTTAGTGGGTGTGGGGCATTGCATCTGGTTGGGAGATGGGCATGGATGGCTGGAGAGATCAGCTGTGGTTGGGAGAGAGTCAGGGACTGAAGCTAGAGGTGTGGGAGGATCTCTGGATGCAGTGGCCCTGGAGTGGGGGGTCACCATGTTTGGATATCTGAGTCCCTTGGTCTTGGGTCTGTTTTTCCTTGGTGGGCACAGGGTTCATGGAGTAGCCAGCGATAAACAAGGCCTCATTGGTGAGTTCTGTGCTGATCCGGGTCAGGAATTCTTTGGAACGGGATAATGAAGCCTTCTGGGGAGGGGCAAAGTGGAGGGGCTCAGCCTGGGAGCTCCTACATGGGTGTCCTGAGTCTTGGGGCTCCCAGGTTGGGGGCTCTGGGTCTAAGGAGTTTGGTATTGGAAGGCTGGACCTTCAGACCTGGCCTAGAAGGCCCTGTGTGTGTGTGGTGGGAAGAGCGGGGGCAGGCTTCGGGGGTCTCAGGGCCTACTGCCAGGCGCTATGCGCTCAGGGGTGAGGCTAGAATCAGGTCTCTGTGCCCTCAGCCTACTGAGCTCTCTACTTCAGTCCACTCCCCCACCCACCCCTCACCGCCCCCCACACACCAACCCATGCAACCTCACCGAACCACCACCCAAGGATGTTGCAGCTTGGGACAGCCGGCTACCCCTTTTCTCCTCATTCCTTGAAGTACTGGATTCCATCCCCCTGGGAACAGTGGGAGCTTTTGTTAGGCTGAGAAACCAGCCTAATTCCCCCAAATCCATCCCAACACCATTCTGGGGGCCCAGATTTCAACAAGGCCTTTAGAGTAACAACCCTGACTATCTCAGTTCTCTCTCTACATTAAAAAAATAAAAATTAAAAAAAGTTGTTGCCTCCTGTCTTTTTGGGGGAAGCAGCGCGGTGGGAAGTCCCACAACAATCCCCACCCCGCTTCGCCCAAGGGGGTCTCTTTCCTTCTTCCCACCCAAGGCCCTTCCCAAGACTGGGCAGCCGACTTGCCGCCCCCCGACCTGGCAGATGGGTTGAAATCTTGGGCTACTCGGCGGCAAGAGGATGAGGAGGCCTAAGGAGTCCCTATGACGGATCTCGGGGGACGGGGAGTTGGGAGTTGGGGAGGGAGGTGGGAAAGAGGGGGACTCGGGGCGGCGGCGCTACCCGTGGCTATAAAACCCTTAGTGTCTGTGGAGGTTCCGCAGCCCTGTTGCCAGGAGATTAGGGATTCTAGAATCAAAGGCGGGAGGAGGGGGGAGGGGGCATGTTCCCAGCAAGTCGCACTTGTCCCTTTGCCCTCTCCTCGACCCACCTCCAGGTCTCCGCTTAGGGGCGGTGACCCCAGGGCCTGAGGCTGGAGAAACTTGGGGAGATCACGTAGCGTGGAGCCTCGGACCTAATTCTCCCACCACTAGGGGCACGCACGCAGCCACCAAGCCCTGGGCCGTCCTTCCGCCTTTCTAGCGGTCATCGCCTGGCCGGCAGCCGGCGCGAGAACCAATGAGGCCCGAGAGAGGGGGCGGGGAAGAACATATGTGGACGGTACTAAATAACCTCGGGTCTCGGGGACGCAAAGACACTCGGGAGGGCAGAATCTTTTCTCCTTATATTTGTCTCTAGGAAGTCACACCCTCCACAGAAAGAACAAGTAGAGATAGTCATCTTGGCTTCCTTCTCTTTTGACCTCTCCTCGTCCGTTCCTTCCTTTGCTCGGCGTGGCTGCTTCTTTGCCCCCTCTCCTCCCTCGGTGCTTTGGTACGAGCCGATGGAAAGGGGCGGAGAGAGCAAAAGGAAAAGGAAGCAGGCAGCTCTTAAAGGGGCCGGTGCCATTTTCTTGAAGCGTTTTTTTTTTCTTTCTTTCTTTCTCTGATTTTGCAAGCACCCACGCGGAAGAGCAGGTTCCCGGAAGCCGAGCAAGGCTGAGCAGCAGGGGCCGCATCTGGAGGCTGCTGCACCTGCGGGGCAGGTGGAGGCGAGGGTCGGCCCATACATAGGGAGGGCGGGGTGTGCGCCCCCCCCTGCACCCCGCGCACTTCTGGGGCGGCCCATGCTCTGGCCTGCAGCGAGCTTTCACATCTGGGGCCGGGCTGGGGCAGCGGGGTCCTGCGCGCAGTTAGTTGGCGCAGCCCTTGCGCTCGGCCGGGGGTGAGGCCTCGTGGTGGGGCTGGAACAGAGCTGGCACCTCCGGATCAGGCCCGAGGCGGCAAGGGGGCCGCCGCGATGGCAAGCGAAAATATTTTCCTGTTTGTGCCTAACCTCATCGGTGAGTGCTGCTCGCGCGCGGCTTTGGGCGGAACGGGAGGGCGAGGGCCCTTGGGCAGGCTCCGTGACCCGCCCTGTCTGTCTCTCCCGCCCCATCCCAAGGTTATGCCCGGATTGTCTTCGCCATCATTTCTTTCTACTTCATGCCCTGCTGCCCCCTTACGGCCTCCTCCTTCTATCTGCTCAGCGGACTTCTGGACGCTTTCGATGGACACGCTGCTCGGGCTCTTAATCAAGGTGATAGCCACCTCCTCCCAGCCAGCCTTGAGGCCCACAATCCGCTGCTCCCTTTCCTGCCTCCGCTGGACCTCAGGGTGGGCAGGGCTCTGGAATCAGAGGGCTCGTCATTCCCATCTCTCCGAAGCAGAACGGAATGGCTTGGTTTTGTAGGAGAAGGGATGTAAACTAGCTGTTGAGAAGAGCTCACTGATATAGTGTAGAGTGTGTAACCGGGAGGCGGGACATGGCAGTGGCAGTGGCAGAGGTCTGTCTGAATTAATGTCCATTCAATATGTGTTTACTGGATGGCCAGGGTGTGCCAGCCATCTCCATTCCAGAAGACATGTTTAGAGGGAGGAGGGGAGAGGGAATGGGGGGTGCTTTTGGAGGGTGGAGTCTGTTCTCCAGACCCTGCTCCAAGACTTCCTGGAAGACCCCTTGTTCTGGGATGAGCTGTAAACTAGCTTTCTCACCTTCTCTTCCACTATCTCTCCACACATACCCCAGACCTCATTTCATGTCATGGTGACTTTTTGCCCAGTGACCTCACACCCCATGGAGAGCAGCCTGGTTTCCTCCCCTGGCAGTGGGGACGGTGGACATTTTTCATCTTCTTTTAGACTCTGCATCAGAGAGATATGCCAACTATGGCCCCTGTCATAGATCCACTGCCCCCCTAACAGTCCCTTCCCAGCTAATAGCTCCCCCGTTTTTTAGGGACCCGGTTTGGGGCCATGCTGGACATGCTGACAGACCGCTGCTCCACCATGTGTCTGCTGGTCAACCTAGCCCTGCTGTACCCTCGCGCCACTCTTCTCTTCCAGCTCAGCATGAGCTTGGATGTGGCCAGCCACTGGCTGCACCTGCACAGGTCTCTGATTCTGGGGGTGCTGGCCCGCTGAAGAAGACATTGTCATGGGGAGGGGCAAGACGATAGGGGAGGATGTCTGGGGTGACTTCAGTCTCCTTCTTAGCTCTGCTTCATTGAAGGACCCTGGGCAAATCCTCTCTGATCAGCTTCAGTCCCATTCACAGTTGGATGAAGCAATCCCTAAAACTCTTCTGACTCGATATTCACCAATTCCAAATAGATAACAGCTCATGGGAAGGGGCATGGCGGCTTTTGAATGTGACAGTTGAATCCTGACTCTTCCCCAGCTAGGGAATTGTGTGGTTTGGGGCAAGATGGTGGTCCTCAGCAGGGCCCCAGTTTCTCCCAGTACAACAGGCCATCCCATACCTACCTATGGAGGTTGATTCCGGGAGTAGATGGGTGTCGGTGGTAATGACCACTCATGGATTCCCCTCCTTTCTCCCCCAAGTTCTGTGGTCCGAGGCAGTGAAAGTCACAAGATGATTGACCTGTCTGGAAATCCAGTGCTTCGCATCTACTACACCTCCAGAGTAAGCATTCCCTGCCCCTCACTTAGTTATTCTGCTTGTGCCAAATCTTGGGCTGCACCCTGGTCCCAGATTAGGAAAGGATGTGAGCATGGAGGAGGGACAGCCAGCTCAGTGGTGGGGGGAGGCCTGTAAGCTGAGGTATGAAGGGGGGTAGGGTTAGTAGGGAGGGCCTGTGTGAGTTAATCTAGGCAGCAGGTGGGCAGGAACCCAAGTGGTACCCAGGGAGCAGGAACTGAGTGGCTGGAGGGCAGAAGAAGGAGAGGAGAGAAACGCGGTCTGCAGAGCCAGCTCTCCAAAGGCCTGGACAAGGAGTGTGCACTTGACTCTGAGAGCAGATGCTGCCTCTGAAAGGATTTTTAGAGATAATCTGCTGAGATTGCTCTTTCCTCCCTCCACCCCCAACCTCCCACCACACCCATATTTCCCCAGTCCAGCTCTCCCAGCTGCCCATGCTCAGAGGCTTTTGAATCCCCTTCCCTTAGTGGTTTTGAGGGTGCACCCTGCCCCACCCTTTTGTTGAGGCAGTGTTTTTGCTGTTTGTACAGGTTGCTCTGTTTACCCTGTGTGCTGGGAATGAGCTTTTCTACTGCCTCCTCTACCTGTTCAGTTTCTCCGAGGGACCTTTAGGTAAGAGATGAGGGGCTGGGTGGGAGGGGAGGGGGTTCTGGCCTACCCAGGGAGATGATGGCCACAGACTCAGGGGCCCCCTCCCTCACCTGCACCCCATTTTCTCATTGTCACCTTTGCTTCCTTCCCGCAGTTGGCTCTGTGGGTCTTGTCCGATTGGGCCTCTGGATCACCGCCCCTATCGCCTTGCTCAAGTCCCTCATCAGCATCGTTCACCTGGTCACAGCCGCCCGAAACATGGCTGCCCTGGACGCAGCAGACCGTGCCAAGAAGAAGTGACCCTGGGACTTCCAGCCCCTGGCTGCCCACCTGCCCTGGGAGTCTCACTGTGCCACATGGCTCCCCTCCGTCCTCGGAGGTCCAGGCTCACGTCTCCTAATGTGTTGTCCAACCTACTGGGAAGGGGGTCTGCCTCTTTGGTGATGTCATCTTCTCTGTAATCCTTAGGATCCCCAAGGACATGGACCCTAAATCAGGAAGGATGCTCTCAGGAGGCCTCGCCCACCTGGGCAGTGCTGGGCACCAAGGGGCCTGTCTGAAGACAGCATTGTCACACGTACTGGCTCAGCCCTGGAGTCTGGCTTGGCCTGAGACTTTAGGGACACTGAGTGAGGGGTAGGGGCCAGGTTTCCCAAAATGCAGGGAGTTGGACCTCTGTCCCTGGCCAGAGAAAGCCTGCAGGACTGGCCAGAAGAGAAGGAGCCATCTAGACCCTTTCCCACTGCAGTGTCCGTCCAATCTATCCCAGCTCTGAAAGCCTCGATAATAAAGGCGGGGGCTTCACTGTCCTGGACTTGCTTTCCTTTGAAATACTCCTGGACCGGGGCCTGGGTTGAGGGGAGCTTGGGGAAGAAGGAAGACCCATCTGGCTGTTTTCTTCCCCCAGTTGCTGACTGGCTGGCTCCTTCCTGTCATTCCAGTGACCTCAGAGGCCCTCCCTGCCACCCAAGCTCATGCCATGTCCTCTTGTCCACCTGCTCGTGACACTGTCACTAGCTGTCTGCATTTATTTGTATACCTAATACTTTCTGTCCCTTAATACTAGAATGGAAACTCCATGAGGGCACTGCCTTTCCTTGGTCCTTCTGTCTCCCTACAATCAAGATGAACTTTAACCTGGCATATCGTGGCTGCTGAATAAATACTCACAAATAGAGCAGTTGGTTTCTCACAGTGCGGTCCTTATACCACCTGTGAGATAATTCTTAAAATTTCAGTTTCTTGGACCCTGCACCAGACCTCCAGAGTTGGAATCTAGGGATGGGCCCAGAAGTCTGCAATTTTAATAAACTCCAGGTGATAGAGTCTTCCTGAGAACATCAAGATCCCTGTTCCTTAAACATTTTTCAGGCACCTACTAGGTAGACGTTGTTCTGGACATCTGTCCCTAACAGCTACCATCTGAGCTTTCTCTGCGGTCTGGCACCAGCCTTTTAAAAAACGATATTGAGCCTGCCATACGCCAGATCTGTGCTGGGGGTTCTTTGCAAATGTTACTCATTTTTATCTTTTTGTAGCTTAGCCAAGAGGCCCTCACATCCAGGAGAGCTGAATTTCAGCAGGTGTGTGTGGAGCCTCAGCTGAGTTAGGCCCAGGATGGGTGGATGGGAACAGGTTGAAGGAAGGTGGTAATGCAGGGAGGGAGGTGCTTGTTGGGGGATGGAAGCAGGAGTTGCTGGGGAAGATGGGCATCTTACATAGGAAGTTAGTAAGGGTTGGGGCTAGAAGGGTTAATGCAGAGGCAAGGGCTGGTTTTCAGCCAAGGGAGCCTGCCAGGGAGCATCCTGGGCAGTTATTGAAATGGAAACATCAGACCCAGTGTGACTGGAACACCCAAGTGCTGGGGATTGGGGGTGGGGAGCTGGTGAGAGACTGGGCAGCCATCCAGCAGCCTGAGTAGCCCAGTAGAGCATTTGGACTTTACCCTGAGGCCACATGAAGCCACTGAAGGAATCTTTCAAAATAATAGGTAAAATATTCATGTGGTCAAAAAATGAAATTGCACACACTACAAAAGGATGACAAAGTCCCCTGCCACCTCAGGCCCTCACCTCTCCCCAGAGGTGACCACTGCAATTCATTACTTATGTGTCTCTGTCTAAATTCTTCATGCCTACACATATCTCCATATTTTAAAATTCATTTTCCACATGCTGTCCTGCTAACAAGCTACCGCGGTTCCAAGTGCTTTGTGTGTGTATTCCTCATTTCACCTGACACTACACTCTACTGGATACTAAACAATACAAGCCTTTGCACATTTTCCAGAGAGGAGAGGTGCTGAAAGGAAGGAGGCCAACCTGGTTGGCTGTGTATTTGCCACACACAGCAGTCCACCTACCTAGTCTTAATGGTGGCATTTGTTTAACCAGGTCCTGCCATCGTGAATCACCTGGACTCTCAGGGGACATGGCGTAGGGTGAATGCCTAAGGGCAAGATGATGGCAAGAAGAGATTTGTCCTTGAAGAAGACATAATTCACACACTGAGCTGCCCCTCCAGCTCTGCAAGTGGCCCCTTACCTGGCCTGCTCCCAAATCAAGGTGGGGGAGGACTTTCATTTTTCTTGAATCAGCTCTCCCTCCAGCTAGATGCATCCTCTGAGCACTCACTTAAGCCCTGTGGGCCCTAACCATTTATGGTGATGTCAGGGGTCTCTAATTTATGTAAATTCAGCTATCTGATCTTAAAAAAAAAGGAGAGTTGGGGAGGGGGGCTGCGAGCATCTTCACTGTGCCTGAGGCCTGAGGAACCATCCCTGAAGACAGCCCCTGCCCTAGGGGGCCTGGTGCCTTGGGTCCCATGACCAAGCCTCTGTTTACAGCCTAGAATCAGGTGGCCCTGGGACCTCCTGCAGGAGAGGGTGGAGAAAGGCTGGGCTGAATCGAAGTCACTCTATTTGATCTGGGGAAACAGTGGAGTCACCTATGTTGCTATGGTCTGAACCACTATTGTTGCTATGTTAAAACCTAATGGCCCATGTTATATTTGGAGGTGGGGCCGTTGTAGGTGGTTAGGTCATGAGCTCTCATGAATGGGATCAGTGCCCTTTATGAAAGAGGCCTGAGGGCTCCCTCACCCCTTTCACCATGTGAGGACATGGAGAAACCACTGGCTGTGAACAGGAAGTAGGCTCTCGCCAGACCTCCACCACACCGATGCCTTGATCTTGGACTTCCCACATCCAGAAAGGGGAGAAATACACTCCTGTTGTTTATAAGTCCCCAGTCTGTGGTGTTTTGTTACAGCAGCCCGAACGGACTAAGCTATGTGCAGTAATAGCTTTCTGGAATTCAACAATACGCTTTCAGATGGAATGATGAACCACCATGCAAGACACCCCACCAGCTTGCGCCACCCAGTGGGCTGTGCCTTTGAGAGGGTGCTGAAAGCCACTGTGAATCCGCTGTCCCCTCAGGTGGCTCTCATACTGTGATTAGTTAAAGGTTCCCTAACCGCTGTCACAACCCTCAAGGTGTATAGTGGCCCAAACATGATAGAAGTTTCTCTCTAACTTACATTAGGTCCTAATCCGTGCCCCTCACTGGGAGGAAGTAGCTCTCTTGATGTGGAGACTTGGGGGGATTCAGGCTCCTCCCATTGTATGGTTCCACCATTTTCAACACATGTGCTCTGCTTGCTTCATCATGCAGGTTGTGGGCAGGAGGGAGGAATGCACCTGGGGGACTGCACAGGCAGCTCGTTTGGAAGGCAGGGGTTGGCCCCATCCTTCCGTCACGTTCTGTGATCTGCAACTCGGTCCTATGGCCACATCCATGTGCTGGGGGCTGGGAAACAGATGAGGTGTGGGCCCAGGAGAGACAGAATCGATCTGGTAAACAACCTTTTACCGTGCTGTGATTTTGCAGTTTAAAGACACAGATTTCTCTATTACAAAGGGCTTCTTAAATCAATTGCTTTATCTGGTATTCAACCTAGAAAAGCCATTTGCTGCAGTGCTTTAGAAAACATCAGAGAGCACACTGTTCTGTGTTTTATGGACAATTTAAGGGACCATCAAGGATAAATTTGTACCAGGGGACTAATTTATTTATTTATTTATTTATTTATTTTATTTTAAAGATTTTTTAATTGGGGAATTGGGAGATGGGAACAGCGCTGGGGAATTTGGGGTAAGGGGAACAGACAAGCTGCTGTCCTTCTGTTCTTCAATCTAGTTGTGGAGGACGTTGCTTCACTGGCCCAAGTTGGCACCATCATTGCGCTCTTCCCGGGCGAGGCAGATCAGTCGCCGGCTTCTGGACGGCCGCTCACTGCGGTTTCTGGACGGCCACTCACTGCGGCTGCTGGCTGCTCACACTGGCTGCTGGCTACACATGGTAGCCCATGGCAACCCACTGCCACAGGGGCTGCAGCCTACGCTGTCGCTGGCGACTCACGGCAGCCCAGCTCCAGGTTGAGCTGTTGTTCAGCATCTTAGCTGTGGAGGGCAGTGTCACTGGCCCTCATATGTGGGATCTGAACCGGGGCCCTCTGGCATCCCAAGCCAGCTCTTAACCAACGCGCCACTCGGCTGGCCCCCCAGGAGACTAATTTAGAATCTGGGTCCAGTGCAAGCTGGAGCTCCCTGTATTTCCATTGAGGCCTGTTTTCCAGATGTTGTCTCCTTCACCAAACATCCAGGCCTGAGACCATCTTCATGCGTGCAATTTAAAGAAAAGCTTCCTCCTTTGCCTGTGGGAGCTGCCAGGTTGAGGGGAGCGTGGCTGTCTCCTCTCCCTACCATGGCATGTGCTCATCCACTGATATCAGTGTACTCCACAAAGGGGGATCATCAGTCACTTTGCTACTGTATTCACGGCTCCCTTTCGACCAGATAGTGTAAAGTTGTTCATGCCAACTTGCACAGAAACAGCAGACAGCTCTGTGCTGTCAGTGAATCAGCAGGTCATCAATTCAGTGTTGAGCCGTGGGCTCCCGGCAGGGCTGTGGCTGGAATCCCCAGGGTTCCAGGCAGTGGGACACATCGTTCTGGCCAGGGTGCTTTTAGCAATATATGTCATGGAGGCCGCATGTTTGCATCAACTGAAACCTGGCGCCATTGGTACCGCAGAGTGAACACAACACAGACGTGACATGCCATCTGCTCGGCCCTGGCTGCCTTGGCCTTCCCAGCGCTGGTCATGTCTGAAGGTCATCGTATGGAGAAAGTTCCTGAACTGCCTTTGGTGGCTAAAGATAAAGTTGAAGGCTACAGGAAGACCAAGGAGGCTGTTTAGCTTCTTACAAAGCTTAAGGCCTGGAGTGATATCAAAAAGGTCCATGCCTCTCCATGAATGAGAGCTGCAAGGGCAAAAGGAGAAATGGTCGTCGTATCCAGTCCTGGGGACCTTTCATCATCTATAATGAGGACAATGGCATCACCAAAGACTTCAGAACATCCCTGGAATTACTCTGCTTAACATAAGCAAACTGAACACTTTGAAACTCGCTCCTGGTGGGCATGGTGGCTGTTTCTACATTCAGACTGAAAGTGCTTTCCGCATGTTAAATGGTCTGCGTGGCACTTGGCGTAATGCTGCCTCCCTCCAGAGTAACTGCCGCCTTCCCATGCTTCCCACGCTCAAGATGCTAAATACAGCTCTGAGCAGAATCTGGAAAAATCCAGAGATTCAAAGAGCCCTCCGAGCACCACGCAAGAAGATTCGTTACAGAGTCCTGAAGAAGAATCCACTGAAAAATCTGAGAATCACGTCGAACTTAAACCCATATGCAGAGACCATGCACCAAAACACCATTCTTCTCCAGGCTGAGAACCACCAGCTCCAGGGAATAAAGCAGCAGCAGCGCTAGAAGCCACATCTGATGAGAAAGGGGTTCCAGGAAAAAAGCCAGGGTTAGGGAAGAAAGGAGAGAAGGCTGGTGGCTATTAGTGAGCCATGTGGAGACATGAAGTCATCAGTGGAGATGAGCCCACAGCTCAGGGGTGAGGTCAGAGAAGGAGAAATAGATTTCGAAGTCAGTGGCACAGAGATGATCTAAAGCCATGAGACTACAAATGTAGCTGAGAAAAGGAACAGGGTCCAGGGTGACTCACGATTTAGACTGAGCAGAGGAAGCGGAGCTGGCCAAGGACACTGAGGACTGGTCAGCGAGGTGGAAAGAATAGTGGAGTCGGCTGTGGGAGCCGGGTGTGGACACTGCCATGTGATGAGAGAGGCTGAGCGAGCAGAACCTAACTACTGGGTCTAGCGACAGGGACATCACCGGTGATGCCAATTGGAGCAGTTCCCATGAAGCAATGGGTGGAGACAGAAGCTAATTGGAGTGGCTTGAGGAGATAATGAGAGGTGAGGAATGGAAACAGAGAAATGAGACTGTGGAGGAAAAAAGAGGAGAGGTGGTAGTCTGGAGGGACTGTGGGGCCAAGGGAGAGCTTACTTGTTGGTTCTGTGTGGAAGACAGTAGAACATGTTTGTGAGCTGGGGACAGTGATCCCAGAGAGGGAGGAATTGGTGCAGGAGAGAAGGGTGATGACAGAAGCAGGAGTGGACTCAAGGACCTGAAGTGGGCAGGACCTAGAGCCCAGGTGAGGCGCTGGGCTTCCTGGGAACCAAGGGAGGATTGAGGCTGGATGCTGGTAGTTTGTTAGATTAGCTGGGAAGGGGCGGGACTTCCTGCCCAGTTTGCTTCTATTTTCTCAAAGATGTGAGTAGGGTTGTGGGAGGCTGAGAGGAGAGGAGGTGTGAAGAGTTGTTCTAAAGGAGATCTAGCACAAGACAGAGAACTGTTGTCAGAAGCCATGAGGTCTCCCTTTTGAAATTAGTTCATGAATTTAAAACGAGTCAGCATGTGGGGTGTTCCTCCGCCAGCAACACACAGCTCATCATGGAGGGAGGGGCTTTTCCTTCTAAGTATCACGGGGGAGGGGAGAGGTTCAGGGAATTAAGGGAGGTCTCAGTGAGTGAATTACATGGTCGGGCTCAAGGTCATTGAAGGAACTGGAGGAGTGGTTGTTGGAAGATGAGAATGATACAGCAGGAACTGGTGGACAAAATGGGAAGAGACATCCCTCCATGGAAGGCCTTGCCTGCTGTCACCCCAGAAGCCCTTGACAATAAGTGGTGCTCACATAACACTTAACATGTGCTGGGTACTTGATGAAGAGGTTTTCTTTTTTAAGATTTTTTTGGGGGGGGTGAAATTGGGGGAGGGGAACACGGTTGGGGAATCGGAGAAGGGGAACAGACAAGTTGCTGTCCTTTTGTTCTTCAGTTTAGTTGTGGAGGACGTCGCTTCACTGGCCCATGTTGGCATTATCATTGCGCTCTTCCCGGGTGAGGCAGTCGCTCGCCGGCCATTGGACGGCAGCTCACGGCGACTCACAGCAGCCCAGCTCCAGGTCGAGCTGTTGTTCACCATCTTAGCTGTAAAGGACGCAGCGTCACTGGACCTCATGTGAAATGCAAACCGGGGTCTTGCTGCTCAGAGCTGGCGTCCCAAGCCAACTCTTAACCAATGTGCCACTCGGCTGGCCCCCGATGAAGAGTTTTAAGTTAACTATGTCTTCTCAGGGAAGATGGAGGCGAGTTTGGAGGCAGCAGGTGGACGGGCTGACTCACTTGCCGGTTCCAGAACACTGAGCCAGCAGCACCACGTGCCATGGGCCAGATAGATAGCCATGGCCTCCACAAGTTCACACGTGAGTGAGACCAATAGCCACACAAACACAGCCCAATTTGGAAAGGGACGAGGCTCGTGGGGTCAGACCTTAAAAAAAAATTTCAACCTTGCTCCGTAGGGGAATTGCTGGCCTGTTTTACAGGAAAAAAGATCAGAGAGGCTGAGTTGCCCCCCTCTAGCCACACAGCGAGTAAACCCAAGCTTCTCTCCACCCCTGAGATCTTCATGCTTCCTTAGCAGAGACCGGGCAAGCCTGGCAGCTACGGCTGTACCTGGGCCAAAGGGCTGGTTCAACTTGCAGCCTCCGCTTATGTGCCCAGACGGATGGCACCTGGACCCTTCCCCCAAATAAGGCCGCCCCTTTCCCCTCTGCAGGACCATCCTCCCCATCTGACATCACCATTTGAGAGCAGCAAGTGCACAGGTGCCATGCACAGGCCTGCCAGGTATGCAGTGTGACCACCTGGTGGCGCCAAAGGGAGCCTCCCAAGTGCAGGGGGGTGAGGGTGGGAGTGGGGGGAAGGGGGGGTGAATGCACCTGTAGCCAGAGTATTAGACTCCACAGCTCCTTAGCCAAGCTGGGCTCCTAGAGGAATTGGCAGTGAACAGAGATGTTGCTAGTGTAGGAGCCATCGCAGAGGGGCTGGCCAGGCAGGCCCCCTCCTGTTCCCAACCTGGAGTCTAGGAAAGCTGACGACTAAAAGGACAGTCTAGCTGATGATAAGACTTGGGGCCGTGTTCTTGTAAGCATGGCTTCGGATTAGTCATCTCCCCGCCTCAGTTTCCTCCCCACTTTACAGATGGGGGTAGTCTCTAGTAACTATCTCAAGATTTCAGGGGTATTTTCTCCTCATTTCTCACATGAAGCTCCCCTATGACGCAGACCTGAGGGGACAGAAGAGAGTTTGAATGCCCAGAACTGTAAGTTTTATTTTTCGATGCAACATGAAGCTAAGGCACGATACGGTTGCTTCCAAGAGTTTGAGGGACAAGAGAGGACTGGAGAAGCAAGCCTTCCCCGGGACCAGGCCCCCCGGTTGCCTTTTGGTCTGAGGGCTGGGCCTGAGACCCGAGCCCCAACAGACCCAAGGCTGTGCTGAAGAGGTTGATAGGAGTGGAGCCATCCGTGATGAGGGTTGATTTCAGGCCCAAGCTCTGGAGCAGTTTTACCTGAAGGGAGAAAGATGAGGGCAAGAAGATAGTCAGATTCTGGTCCCTTCTCTCGTCCCCTTGGCCGCCTCTCTAGGATGGGCTGCCATCCACTCTGGGCCGATGCTGCAGCTGCCCCCAACCTCTCTCTAGATGTATTTGCCTCCCAGCTTTGCCTTCTGTGTTCCAAGCATGGTCCTAAGACATACACAGACGTCCCCGGTACTGACCCCACTCTCACCTGCATCTCTGGTCCAGCCACAGCCAGATCCCGGATGGTGCTGGGACCCAGGGCCTCGGTCATCTGTGAGAACTTCTTCACCTCCACCTCGGCCAGCTGCTGGGCCTTTTTCACCTCCAGCTCCAGCTGCGCCTGGGCATACACCAGTTCTAGGTCTCGCACTTTTTTTACCCGCTGCAGCTCAGCCTCCTGGAAGGGGAAAGGCCAGCATGCTTTCGATCATGTGGCCCCTGGGAACTGTCCAGCAAGTCCCCGAGCCAATACACCAGAGGGAACTAAGGTAGAAGGGCTGGAACTATCAACTCATAGTCAGTTAGGTGCAAATCCCGGCTATGCCACCTTTGAGATAGAGACCATGAAGGACCCTTAATCCAATCCTCAGTCCCTTCATCTGTAAAATGGAATAATGGCTGCCTTAATGGGATTTCAAACATGAAATAAGACCACACATGTAAAACATATATAATACCTGGCACAAAGCTGGCCAGGGTCTGAGCAGGTTTACATGGCAGATGGGTGTAACAATCGTCTTTACCTTCCAGGCAGGTATTATGTGAATGGATAGAGGACAAAGGACTTCTATTTGAATGGGGCTATGTGGTAGGGTACATGGTGTCCTACTGGGCTTCAGGGACTGCAGTGATTGGGCCTCTTCCAGACCGTGGGCCACCCCTTCCACAGGCACCTGCCCCCACTGACCGTCTCAATGGCCAAGGCCTCGGCCTTCAGCTTGGCCTGCAGCACGGAGCCTTGTCCCTCAATGCGTGCAGCCTCCGCGCGGGACTCGGCCTCTGCCTTGGCGGAGCCGGTGCTCTCCACAGCAGTGCTGGGGGCAGCAGCAGCGTCAGGCAAGACCCAGGAGAAGGCCCCGCCCTGCCCACTCAGCCTTGACTTTCACATACCCACCTCTGTCCCCCACCCCCCAACAGCTGCTTTCTAAGACCCTCAGCATGCAGCTATCTTTTCCTCTTGTTCTTGACCCACCTCAGAGCCTCCAGCTCCAAGAGCTCCCTGCGAGCTTTCTCGGCTTCGGATTGGTCCAAGATCTTCTGCCTCTCAAGCCGGCCACGGGCTTCTTGCTCTAGTCTCTGGGCCTCGTGCCTGGATGGGAGAGGGGACAGGGAAGATGCTGTTGTGGGGGCCAGAGCTGGAACAGGAGTTCCAGGGATAGGGACCACCAAGCTACTGGATGCCCAGGACAGACCCTGGCCCAAAAAGGGCGCTCAACATGCAAACGGAAGTGTGTGTGCTGTGAGCCTGGCCTGACTCTAGCTCAGGGGAATTCAGGGGTGACAAAGGCCCCTGCTTTCACACAACTTGCCTTCCATTGGGGAAAAAACAAGCAAACGAGGATGAGTTCACACAAGTTCCCTGAAAGTGGGTGACCTGATAATGACTTGGCAAAGAGGACACTGCTTCAATTGGGGAAGAAGGAAAGGGGCTGTCCAAGGAGGGGACCTTTGGGCTGAGGCCAGAGGAGGAACCTACCCTGGGAAGAGGAGGAGCTAGTGCAAAGGGTCTTAGGGTGGGAACCCAATTGTGCATTTAAGGAGCAGACAGAAGCTGGTGGGCTGGGAGCCTGGGAGCAGGCTGGAAGTTGAGGTGAGGGAGGCTGAGCTGGACCCCTGAATACCAATAGACCATAGGAGTGAGCCTGGATTCTAGCACGAGGCGAGAAGCCACAGGAGCAAGTCACCCGTGAAGTGGGCCACACTGTCTACTGGGCAAGGATAACAGCACGTTGACCATCAGGGGATGCCATGCCATCCAGGGCCCAGAAGGGGGCTGGAGACAGAACCTGGGTGGGTCTGGCCCTCAGTGGGCACAGTGGGCAGCTGCCCTCACTCACTTGGCAGCCGCCTCCTGGGAGTTGGTGGTGATTTCAATGGCCAGCTGGACGCTGCGCTGCAAGGCGTCCCGGGTCCTCTGGTCCACGGGCTCCACTGACTGCACGTCCACGCTGCTCACCACCAGTCCATTCTGGGGGAAGATGGCCCGGTCGCGGGGCTGGGGCAGCACCTCACCGCCAGGCCCCTTGGCCTCCGGGCTCTCGAAGCCGAAGACGGCCATGCGAATGATGCGGGCTGAGTTCTTGTGGAAGTCATCGAAGGTGACCGATGCCACGGCCCCCCGCACCCGGGACGCGATGGCCTTGCAGGCGTCCCCCACGAAGTCTGGCACTGAGAACAGCTTAGCTGTCTCCTGGGGGTCCTTCCGGTCAAGCAGCTCGAAGTGCCTGTGAGCAAAGAGGCCCGAGCAGGGAAGCCCTTTCCTCTCTGTTTTAAATGGGACTCCCACAGCTACCTGCCCTGGCCAGGTGGGCAGTGTCTCTCATTACAGAGAATGTTGATCAGTGCCCTCCGTGTGCTAGGCGAGGTCCTCAGACACTGACATGTGCTCCCATCTCATTCTCTCAGCCTCCCTAGGAGGTGGGGAGGAGAATGAGCCCCACTTTACAGATGAGGAAATAGAGGTCCAGAGAGGGTAAGTGACAGGCCCTGAGTCACACAATACGTGATAAGCCAGAAAGCTGAACCCAGGCAGTGGAGCTCCAGGGTCTATGCTCTTAGCCGTCATGCTGTAGGACCCCAAAGATGTCAGCGCCCCATCTGCCTGTTATGGTCCTGGCCACCTGGCCAAGAGGTGAGGAACGCCTCCTTGGAGCTGTCAAGCATCGCTTCTGGGTGTGATTGATCTTCCCTAACTCCAGTCATGGCCATTCAAGCTCTTAACTATGCACAGGATATCTTTCTGATTCTCACTGCATTCTTCTGACAGCCTGTGACATTGATGATCACATGCCATCCTCATTTTACAGATGAGGAAACAGAGGAAAGTGCCAAGTTGCTTGCCCAGGTTGGCAGCCAGCAAATGGCATGGCTGGGGTGCAGACCCAGGCAGTGGGTCCCAGAGCATGGTGCTCTGCACCACCTGCCCACTCCCATCCACTCCCACCAGCTTTGTCTGATCTTTTCATAACCTTGCAGTTTTGTTTGGCTGAGCACATGCTGGGAGTTTAGCTGGGGAGTGTTCTCCTTTCGTGTCCCCCAAATCCTTCTCCCAAGAGGTGCACCCACATCTTCCCCATCATTCCCCTGGGGCATCAGGCTGGATTTGCAGGAACCCCTGGGTGTCCCTCTTGACCACGGCATAGAGCCTGGGATTCCGCACTCATTCTGCGCCCAGCCCTTCAAGGAGGCACCTCTCATATCGGGGTTCTCCGGGACTCCCCAGCCGTAGCCCTCACCACCTCCTCCCCGCTTCTCACCAGTTGTAGGCAAGCTGCAGTTGCAGCCTGGCATGGTCTGCGGTTTCGATGGTGATGACGTCTGTGAAGAAGTCAGGCCCAAGCAGCAGGCAGAGCGCGCGGCGGGCGTGGGGACGCTTGGGCCGCCCGGCCGAGAGGGACAACACTGTGAACTGTTCCTCAGGACCCAGCGACACCAGCTCGGGCCCAAACACCACACTGCAGAGGGAGCTGGGAGTCAGACACCAGGAGAACCTCACCCACCGCCTGGCCCCGCCCCCCACCGCCCAGCCCCGCCCCCAGCCCCTCACCGAGCTCGCTTCTCTTTGTAGTCGTACACCTGCACCGCGGCGTTGTGAGGGACGCGGTAGCTGACCACGCGGGTCTTGTTCCGGGGAGCAGAGGGATGAAGGGTCTTGGCAGGCCCCTTCTCACCCCTGTCCGCCAGAGGGTCCTGCCCCTTGTTCAGCAGCTCCTCCACCCCAGAAGGCAGCTCCTTCTCCCACAGGACCTCGTCCTGGGTCAGCATGTAGGTGCTTCCAATCACAGCACGTACCTGGAGAGGGGAGGACAAGCACGGATGTCGCCAGGGAAGGTAAAAGGAGACAGGCCCACCCAGCAGTCCTGGAGCAGAGCATCGTGGTTCAACACGGTCTCTGGGATGAGGCTGCGCTAAGGTCAGCCACCTGCGGGCGACAGCCCCTTGGACAAGCCCCCTCCTCCCCCCAACCTCTGAGCTTTTCTTCCTCATCTGCAAAATGGACATGACAGTGGCTGCCTCATAGGGTTGAGGAATGAACGACATGTCACGTGTCTAATGCGAGGACTTGGCATATCGTAAGTGCTTGGCATTATTTCTTCTGGAGTTTTCCTTCATGGGGCAGCTTGGAGGGTGTCCTGGGGACAGACGCGATCCCAGGAAATAGGCAGCACACACTTAACACTGCCTGGATTCTGAGCTGTATTTCTAGGCTGGATTCTTAGAGAAAGAGGTCAGAGATGTCCTAGGTCAAACCAAGGTCAAGGTTTTGGGTGAGGGAGCAAAGAGGAAGGATTCCACCAGGATACAGGCATGGGGGAGGGGGTCAGTTCTTACCATTCCCATGCCACACCCCAGCCAGACCTTTATGCCAGGGGCGACATCTGCAGTAGGAACAGAGTCCCCACCCTAGAACCTGCTTCACCGTCTCACTTGGGAGCTTCTGAACTTTGAAGTTAGGTATTCAAGACAAAGGGAAGGCAAATACTTCCCAGAATGCCCTTACACCTACCAGCCTCAGCTGCCACTATCAATGCTGCTCAGCCCTTGCAGCCTCCACAGCCACACAGCAGGGACTGTGCCCTTCCCTCAGCTGTCACCTTTCCAGTCTTGACGTCCTGCACGTAGATGCCCTCATTCTCGTCCAGGGGGATGGCTTGACGCTCTTCCACCACCTCCACCTTGGCAGACGGCACATACTCCAGGGGTCCCCGGATGAGCCAGCGGTCACCGGCCTGGCGTGAGACCTTCTCCTCGTTCTCTCCCTCCTCCAGGGGCTGCAGGGCCCTCAGCAGCAGCCCCTGCTGCTCTGACAGCACGTACACATCCTGGATACCTCGTTCTAGCCTCTCTCCCGGCTGCAGGAAAAAAGACTTCTCTCCCTAGTGGGGAGACATGCGGTTAGGAGCTGTTGCCACCCAGGATAGCAGATGCCTCCGATGGCACGTCCCCCAGCTCCCTGTGGCTGTGGGCTTGTACTGTGGACAGAACCCTGAAAAGCACCCTCCCCAGGCCCACATGGAGTGTTATCTGGGCTGTTAGGCTGTTTACAAGTGCCTGCAGATCTCATCTAGTCAAACCTACTCTTAAAAATTTCTGTGAATGGTCAGGACCTGGGTCCTCCTGAGCTCAACAGCTAAGAACTAACCTATTGTTACTTCTCATTCCTCCCATGCTTTGTTTTCTTGGGATGGTGTAGTCTGGGCATTGGCCGACTCTGGTCTGTGGGCCAAATCGGGTCTGCTGTCTTTTTAAAAAATATATGTATTTGAGATATAATCCACATGCCCTAACATGTACCCATTTAAAGTACATAATTCAGTTGTTTTAGTATATCCACAGAATTGTCCATCCATCACCACTCCCTCATTCCAGGACACTTTCATCCCCCTGAAAAGAAACTGTACCCAACAGTCATTACTGCTCTTCCTGACCCCTCCACCAACCACAAATCTATTTCCTGTCTTCATGAATTTACCTATTCTGGACTACTCATATAAACAGAGCCCTACAACATGTGCTCTTTTAGGTCTGGCTTCTTCAGCTTAGCATGATGTTTATCCATGTGGTAGCTTGTACATGCTGATTGTCAGCACACGAACTTTAGTTCATGTTCTTTTTATAGCTGAATGATATTCCATTGTATGGACATACCACAATTTTTTAATCCATTCATCAATTGACTGATAGACATTTGGGTTGTTGCTGCTTCATCTGTCTGTTTTTGCAAATTAAACATTACAGGAACCCAGTGGCACGCATTCGTTGAACAGCTGTCTATGCTGCTTTCACAGTGCGACAGCATCACGCTCACAAAGCCCCAGACATCCCCCACCTGGCCCTTTACAGAGAAAAATTGCCGACCCCTGCTGGTCCACTGTATAGTTTAGAGAGGGGAGGAGGGCGGGGTTTGGGAGAGGAGAATCCAAGAGATTTGCTTTATGCAGGATGGCAGAGTTTCCAGAAATATGAGAGAAAGGGTTTCTGGTCTGCAGCAAAGGGCAGGGCCTGGGAGGAGCTCTCAGAGATGGCAGTGACTCAAGGTCAGGGGTGACCAGGGAAGTCAGGGTGTCTCGGAGCTGGAACCTAGCATGCAAAGGCACAGGAGCCAGGACAAGCTTGGCGCTTCCAGAATATAGACGTGAGGTAAGAGGAGCAAAGGGACAGAGTCCAAGGTCCTCACGCTCCCATTTAAGGGCACTCAGCCCCCAGGGAGCAGGGTGAAGGCACTAACCTTGACCACACGTTTCTGCCCCAGCTGGTTCTTGCCGTCCACACCGACTGGGTCCAGAATCACGCAGTAGTTGTGGGGGCCCAGGGTGGTGATGGGCACAACCCCCAGTACCTCCTCGTAGACGTCTGGCACGTGGGCCTCTGTGTCTTGCACTGTCACCAGCCACTCCTCCCCAGTGCGGCGGGTCACTCCCCTCAAGTCTCGGAAGTTCTGCCGAGCCAGGAGGTGCAGGGCTGTCTGCAGAGTCATCGGGGTGTTGGAATAAACATGCCTCCAACGTCCTCAGGGGACCCGAGAAGCCCAATAGCCCCCAAATGCTCCCAGGTCTCAGTGACAGGTTCTATGAACCCAGGAGGACTTTTGAACCCTTTCAGAGGACCGAGGATACTCCTCAGGTTATCCAGTGGCCCTAGATATAGTGCTTCTCTTTCCATCCATGTACTTGCCACCATCTCTGTCACTCTGAGAGTTCCCTACCTGAGGGTCCCTTACCTACCACCCGCCCAGAGCACAAACCTTTTCGGTAAGAATCACAGCATCCACCAAATCCAGAACCTCCTCAAACACTGCTGGGAGATAGGCACCCACAGTGCGGACCAGCCATTCTTCACCTGGGCCAAGGGCAGAGGTAGGGGTCAAGGTCACCCAAGCCCGCTCCCCAGCTACTCCTTCCTGAAGCGTACTTTGTAGGTGAGGAGAGGAAACTGCCCTAGGCTCAAGGGCCTGACAGGAATCCTGGGATTTATTCCTTTCTTTGAGGCTAGAGGAAAAGTCACCTCTCCCAAGAAAATCCCCTTCTCAATGCTATGCCAGTACCTGCCAAGACTTCCGTAAGCTCCAAGGATCAACCCTTCCCTTCCCATTAAATGGGCAGCAGGCTGCCTCTACTGGAGTTGTAGGTGTTTTTACTTTATTGGAGAAGCAAGAGTGCCTGGGGGCCAGTTCCAGCTTTGCCGTTCCTGGCCATAAACCCAGGCAAATAACCTAATTTCTGCACCTCAGGTCTGTTATATGGAAAACAGGAATAGTAGTGACTCCAGGTTGTTTGAGGACCAAATACATCATTATTTGTAAAGCATTTTGAACCACAGCTGGCACAGAGTAAGCACGCCCTTAAAAATGTCATTTAATCCACCACATCTGTCAGATGCCGCTGCCGTCTGCTTTGCTGATATAGAAACAGACATGGCTGCTGACCCCAGCTCATGGTAAAGGGTGGGGAGGGAAGAAGCATGTCACATGATCACGCCCCAGGCTCAGCGCAGAGACAGGGCCTGGGTGAGGGTGGGGGGAAAGCAGCTGTGGGCAGCCAGCCGCCCCCACAAGCTTAAGAGATTCCAGGGATGCACTTACTCCCAGGCTGGAAGGAGTTTTCCCCAACCTCCCCCCACTTCCCCAGCAGTGGAGGCATGCCCTGCCCACCGACCTTGGGAGCCCCTTGGAAACCCCACCTGTCACCCTCTCCTTGTTGTCCCGGTCCTGACATTCCTTGCGAGCTCTCAGCCGCAGAGCCTGGTTCTGTCTGATGACCGTGGCCTGGATAATCTCCATGACCTCCACCTCCTTCTGGGGGATGTACGTGCCTTGGGGGGATGGGGGGGGGGGCGGAAGACAAGGCAGTGGTGAAGGTCAGGGCTACGATTGATTGGAAGGCAGGAAGCCTCTGACCCCGACTGCGGACCCATAGAAAGAACTTACCAGGTCCTTCAAATAGCCACTCATCTCCTGCGACTACCCAGTCTCCATCGCTATTCTTAAAATCTAGCAGGGCCTTAAGGTGGAGGGCGGTATTGGGCAGAACCACCTGCAGTGGGGTGATGTCCTAAGAGGGGAAAAAGGGGGGCATGGCCATTCAGTGTCAGAACCCCAGAGTCAAGCCTGACACCCTAGAGGTGAGTCCATGGCATCAATCTTTACATGTCCCAATAAGACCCAGAGTAGAACATACAAGGCAGGGGTTCTGGTCTAAAGAACTAAGACAGAGTTGACAGAACAAGAGGATGCCAGTGCCAACGAGCCAGGGACACTCTGTCCTCTGCAGGAAGTGCTTAGAAGTTGTTCTGAACCAGAAATGTAGGCGAGAAGCTAAGGGCTTGACGGGAGATGTGGGAGAAATATCCGGGGAGCTGAATACATGAATATCTCAGGGCCTAGTGAGCACTGGGGCCCTCGAGGAAGCGTAAAGAGGTAGGAAGGTAGAAACTGCTAGAACAGGCACCCTCTAAGCATAGCCATGGTTCTTCAGGCATCACATCTCCTTCCATCAGGAAAAGGGACTTGGCAACAAGCAGCAAAGCCGTTTAGATGTTTGCAGAAGTATTTCTACAAATAGGACTTCACTTGATCTTTGATCTGAGGGAGGCAGAAAAGCGAGGAAAGAAAGGCTCATAGAGGCTAAGGGACATGGCCAAGGTCACATGACTAGTAAGGAACAGAATCAGGACTTGAACCTCCGTCTCTAGCAACACCTACCTGCTGCTCCTTACCTCTGTGAGGCGGCCCTAGAGCAGAGAAGGTCAGGTAGCACTTCTCTACCCCCTGACCACACACTGCATTGGTGAGAGGTGGAGCTGGTGGCTTACTACCCTGTCACACCCTTCTTTTTTTGTTTGTTTGTTTGTTTGTTTTTGTTTTTTAGCTGAGCAATCCTGCCAACGGCAGCTCAATGGCAGCTCAGCTCGGGGCAGGCGGACTTGAACCGCTGTTGCTCAGAGCTCCGTCACACCCTTCTTACATGCCTTACGTGTGCGTGGCACTCGGCCGGCTGTGGTGGGACAGGATATACCCTCGTCGTCATGGAGTTTAAGTTCCAGCAGGTGATAAGATGTAGACACAGAAAGCAGCATCTGAACTAGGGTTCAGAGGAAGAGCCAGCTTTGGATACAAAGGTGTGGGAGGAAGAGGAGGGAAGCCTTATGGGACGAGCACGTAGACCAGTACGTTTTTCACCTCCCACATCTACTGTCACGACTTCCTATCTGTTCTGTCATGAATCCAGTCTACCTTTACCTTTCCCTGCCATTGTCCTCATCTAAGCCACCAACACCTCTCATCTGGATGATGGAAATAGCTTCCCAGAGCAGGCTGAGTGGCTCAGTTGGTTAGGAGTTGGCTTGGGAGCGTGAGCTCTGAGCAACAGGGCCGCTGGTTCGATTCTCACATGGTCCAGTGACACTTCGCCCGAGCTGAGCTGTTGCTGAGCTGCCAACAGGTGACAGGATGGCTCCGCTAGTGTAATAACAAGATTGCCTGTTCGCTGGTGTGCTATACCCACCTGCAATTAAGACTGAACTCGGAACCTTGAGCTGAGCTGCTGCCCAGATGGCTCAGTAGACAGAGCATGCACTCTTAACAACAAGGCTGCAGGTTTGACTCCCGCATGGGATGGTGGCTATGCCCACTCACAAGTAAGATTGAACACAGCACCTTGAGCTTAGAGGACACGAGCTGCCGACGGAAAGCCAGATGGCGATTGGCGCCCTCCACAACAAAGACTGAAGAACAACAACTTGGAAGTCCCCTTCCCCAATTCCCCAACACTGTTCCCCTCCTCCAATTCCCCAATAAAATCTTAAAAAAAGAAATAGCTTCCTAATTGGTCTCCTGGCCGCCACTTTTGTCTCCTTCCAGTTTGTCCCTCAAGCCTTTTCAAACAGGCTTCCAGCTTGTGGGGACTGGGTCCCCAATAGCGTCACCAAGTAAGCTTGGGAATATGGGAGAACGACAGATACGGGGGTCAGGGAGAGTGTTAGTTTGGATGTCCAGTATGAAGTGGGTAGGACATCCAGGACAGGGCTTCCTCAAGGCAGTTAAGGTACAGGGATGGGTGTTTTCAACACAGACAAAGTGGTCAAGGTCACGAGAGCTCAATAGGGCAGGGAGGAGAGAGACATCTAAGATGGAAGAAAGACCCACAGACCAAAACATAAAGACATGTTCTAATAAGATAGCAGATCAACCATGGGTGTGGTTGAGAGGGCCTGTGAGACACAGAATGACTGTCCACTGGGCCTGCAGTGTGGACATCCTGGGGCTTCGTCAAAGTGAGTTCAGTGGAGGCGGGGCAGGGGCCAGAGGCAGGGCTTGGGGGGGGAGAGAACAAGTGCAAGTGGCCATCAGAGAGTAAATGGGAAAGAGGAAAGATGGTGCCTGCTGCTGGCCACACGGGAGAGGACCTCACACAGGGACAATGGCAACTGTCCTTGAGCCCCTTCCTGAGGCCACATACCTCAATCTGCCCCCCACCCCACCCTGTATGTCTCCAATGTCTACCGAGTAGTTGTCCCTCTGCCAGAGCCCTGGGTGCTACTAAAGGAGCGAAACTGTTTCCTAATGGGCACAAACAAGGAAGGAGGTGGCCATGACCCTGCCAACAGCCATCATGTGACCACAGGGGCAAGCCTGCCTACACATTGGACCAACCCTAAGAAGCCGGAGAGGAGAAATGGGGATTTCTTTTCCACATTGGAGCACATGTCCCCTGAAACTACACCTAAATATTTAAGTGGGTGGGCCAACAAATTCCTTCGATTGTTTAAACTAGATTGAAAAGAATTTCTCATTATTCACAACATAAAATATTCATTGATGCATATACACAAAAAAGAGTAACTGGGAAGAGTATAAACAGGCGAGGAGATGAAGGCAGAACAGTATGGAAATAGAGGTGGTGGTGGTGGTGGGGTGCCTGCCTGCTGAGGCCCAGGGCTGAGGAGCTGGTCCAAGCCTCCGATGCCCTGTGATGCCCTCTGATCTAAGCCTGGCCCTCTCCTGTCCACCGCTGTCGCTGCCCACCAGCACCTGACACTGTTCAAGTTAATAAAGTGCCTACTCTAGCCTGGCTGATTAGGTGGTGAGCTGGGCTGGCAGCTCTCACAGGCAGAGCAAGTCTGTGTGGGCCTGTGAGGAGGAGGGGGTGTTTGGAAAAGGTGATGGAGGGACAATGAGTCAATTCTGCTCCTGGTGAACATGAGGAAACATCATCCCTGCCCCTGCCCCCGCCTGTGTCCCCAATTTGTTTTCCCTCCAGAAGGCAGTGTGGAGCCCTAGGACAAGGTGGCAGGGCAGATACAGTGGGGTACTGGGAGGCAGGTACAGTGGTATACAGGGGAGCAGGTACACTGGGGTATGCGGGGCAGGTACAGTGGGGTATGGGGGTACGTACAGCGGGGTACAGGGGGGCAGGTACAGTGGGGTACAGTGGGGGAGAGACAGATACCTTTTCCAGAACCTCCCCTGGGTACAGGGGGAAGGGCTCCTGGGCGAGCCGGATTTCCAGGTCAGCGTGACGGAGCCGCACTTGCCCTGTGACATCAAATAGCACGGAGCCCTGGGGATCCCGGGACACTGGGTTGGCCACTGTGCAGTAGTGGCGTGGGGGGACCGTCACCATGCGGGCAGGCGCAAACAAGACCCTGTTGGAGGGTGAGAAATGGTGTGAGGACCCAGGGAACCCCCACTCCATTCCTTGAGGTGGCAGTGAATGGGAGTGAAAGCTCCCAGTCGCCCAAGTGAGGGCCAATCCAAGCAAGAGATAGATGATGGTGCCAGCGAGGCCAGCGGGCCCTCCTCAGCCCCACACCCCCACAGCCCAACACCAACCTCTCATTGTCCTGCCGGATGTAAGTCTTTGGCCCAACCTCCACCCGGGACACGTTGCTGTTCTGGTCTAGCACATGGATAAAGTGGTAGGGTGGGATTCGAATGATGGACTCCTCGGTTGCCATGGTAACTCTTCAGCCCAGGGCAGCAGACAAGAGTGACAGATAGGTGGAGAGATGATACAAGATGAACACAGGGGGTCTGGGATGAGGGGATGGGCTCTTCCTCCTCCAACGATTATTCTACCCTTCACTGTCTCCATGCCCACCTCTTCCTTTCTTCTTCCCACCCAGGACAGTACAGCCCATCACCCCTGCCAAGAACTACCTGATGCAGTAACGCACAGAAGCCCAGGGCTCTGGGCCAACCCTTTCAGGCCTTCCTGTCAGCTTTACCCCCTACTCCCCCCCCTACACACACACCTGGAGCTGCCTGCAGCACTGGAAGGGGCTTTAGCTCAACACTTTCCCAATCTTCCAACCCCCATGGTGAGGGAGAGCTGGGAGAGTGGGTCAGTTTCGAGGTGGTGTGGCCTTGGCCACCACAGGGGGGTGGGTGGGGGGGTGGGCAGGGACTCCCCAGGGCAGGCAGCCTATGTTTCAAGGAATCCTGAGGGCCCCAGTGGGATTCTAGCTTTTCAAATGTTAGCCCAAGAGCCCAAGAATATTTGCATGAACTTTGCCTGCGGCCCTCCCACCCCAGTACTTTGCTTTACGCAGCCCTGGAAGGAACTGTTCAGACATGAGCACCTCTCAAGGAAGGGATCCGTGCTGGAACTGATGATCCCTGAGAATCAGCTGGATTAGAAATAGCACAAAGGCGTCTAGTCCCTCCCCTTTCTCTGTGGTCTGCTCCCCTCCTCAGTTCCCTGCTGTCAAGGGTGAGGGTGGGTGAGAGGGGGAAGGGGGTGAATGAATACTGCATTCCACCCACCCCTGAATCCTAGGCAGTTCCATCCCGGGCGTGCCCTGTTCAGAAACGTCACACATGCTGCCTAACCCCCATCCCGGCCTCAGCATGGACTTTGGACAACATATGACTTTGAATCACACAAAGGGAACCAAGTTTCCTAAACAATTCAAAGCCTTGTTTCTGAGACTTTGGTGACACATTTTTGAAGCCACCACCAGAAAGGGGTGGCATCTCATCTACTCCACCATTCATCCAGCTTCCAACCTGAGAAATGGGAAGCAAGGAGGAAGGAGAACTGGCACAGGAAAAACAGCAGGAACCCCGACATCACAGACCAAGGCGAGGCCCAAGTTTCATTTGATCTACGTAATCTGTACCATGTCAATTTGGGGGGTTAGAAACTGGGAGTTTTCACAAACTCCCCAAATCTCCACTTTTCTTGAAGATTTGACTAGAGTCAAGCAGCAGCTGTGCGCTTTAGATGGGACACAAGCTTTCCTGCTTACCCACCATGCCCTGTGGTCCCATACCTGGGCTGTGGCACTCACATCACCCGCCTGGCTCCTGTGTAAAACCTTCCAACTCAGTGTCCTCCGATAGAACTTTCTACAATGATGGAAATATCCTAAATCTGTGCTGTCTTTGGACTGACCACATGTGGCTACTGAACACAAAATATGGCTAGTGTGACCGAGGAACTAAATTTTAATTAAAATAGGCAAGTGTGGCTGGCTGACCCCATTTAGACAGTGTAGCTCTGAGCAGTCCCAGATAGGGACAATGAGTCATTCAAGACCATAGCAAGTTAGTGGCACTGCGGGTCCTGAGAGAACACCTGGTCTCATCTCTCCAGAGACAGCAAGGTACACAGTTAGGGGAACAGATTACACAGACTGCCTGGGCTCCCTTACAGTTCTCAGCGGCTGCTTCCCAGCCCTACATTGTTTCCTTAACGTCGTCTCCCCTCATTTTCCAAGAGGTTACAGTTTTTGTTTTGTTTTGTTTTGTTTTTTTAGCTGAGCCATCCTGCCACCTGTTGGCAGCTCAGCTCCGGCCAGAAATCGAACCCTTGTTGCTCAGAGCTCGCACTCTTTCTTGAGTGAGCTTTTAACCAACTGAGCTACTCTGCAGGCCCAAAGAGGTTACAGTTTTGATTTCTTTTCCTGGTACACTTTCCACATCAGAGGATGTGAGGCTGCTCCTCATTCTTTTATCTTGCAACTTTGTATGTATGGGATTTGACCTTGATACTTTTCTGTTGCCCCTCTGTCTGGAAAGTGAATTTCCCTGAGCTTGCAGGAGAGTGGCTTTTCTAAAGCCAGAGCTCCCTCTTCTGTTGACTTCAGCTAGTGTTTGAAAATACCAGGGCTGGTTTCCTGCTCTCAGGGTTCTGTTCCCCTCTCCACTCGCATCTGGACCTTCTATTTCCTTCCCCCCTACCCCCCCCCCCCCCCCGGGGGGGAGGCTGGGACTGCCTGGATCTTGGTTCTAACCCTTACTGGATGGGTGGCCTTAGACGAGTCCCTTGCGTTCCCTATACCTGGTTCCTTACCAATAAACTGGGAAAGGACAGTGCATCTACCCACATTATGAGGGCTGAGTTAACTCACCAGTAAGCACTTGGAACAGAGCCTGGCTTTTCAGAACTGTGTCTTGCTGCTGAGGCAGGAAGCAGCCTGAGGCCTGGCTTCCTTGTCGATTTAGAGCACGTGACCTAGCATCAGAGGCTCCCTATCTCATCTGGCATCTCAGCCTCAACCCTCACTGATCTACAGTACATCTGGAAGGTGGCCAGACTTGGGTCGTCCCAGCTGTGGGGCTGGAACAGCAAAGAGGGGCAGCTGGCAGCCAAGTGAAGTCTTTTCCAGCCGCTCCTCTGCCCGGTTGTTTGCGGGTGGAAGCCTGGTCAGGAAGCCAGATGGAGGGAAGGAAAAGCTCGGGCAATAGGCGGAGGTGTGGACAGGGCTGGGAGGCCCCCTCAGGGAAGATTAGAGCCCTAGAGGCCACGCTGGGCTGGGGGGGCAGACTCTGGGACTAGCCTCCAGTAACTGCTTGTTAGATGATCCCCCACCCCCCATGGCTGATGCCTCTCCACCATCTGTCACCCCAGCTGGGCCCGGTCAGGGGGGCTGAGAGCCTTGCCCAGCTCAGTGACTCAGCTGACTGTCATCCTTCTAGCTAATCCTGCCTTTTCCAGGGCCAAGCCCTTGCCAGCTACCTTTGTTTCAGCACCAAGACCTTGTCTTCCCTCCCTGACCCCCCACTGTGCTGTGCTCTCCACCCAGACCACCTGCCAAGTTCACCCAAAAACAGGCTTGGCCTTTTCACGCTCACCATCCACAGAAGTGAGTTGTAATACAGGGTTTCTTAGGGCATCCAGGAAACCATGTGATTCAGGCAGCATGTTCGTGACAAGTCTCAGATGTAGACTTTTGTGGTTTACCAGGTGACATTTCTAGTTAGAGCTATTTTACTTCCATTGTATCAGGGCCCTCAGAAGACAATGGTTAAGGATTGTGCTGACCTTTGGAAGGTCCTGCCCAGACCTGGGTTTGGAGCCCGCTCCCCCAATCCCCTCAGTCTTCCTGTCAGTGTCTGCTTCTGAGATCTGCCCCGTAGTTTGCTCTCTGGGTACATGTCCAGCCTGGCTCCATCACATGGCCCTCAAGTGTTATGTGGTTCCTGTAAGAATCAGTCAACTTTCACCCAAAGTCTCAGAGACCAGAAGCTCCCTGGTGGCACGTGACCTCCCCCCACTCACAAAGAAAGGAGGGGTTACAGGTAGATGAGCAGAAAACGGCATAGCCTGTAAGCAGATGCTGGGTTCATCCTCTCGTTAAGAGGCCACTCTTCACCTGTACCTTGGCTCCAAAGCAAAATTTAATTAACAAATGAGTCACGAGTCACTACTTGTCAGATCTGCAGGGGTAACTGTGAGTGGCTAACACCGTGAATCTTAAATGGGCAGGTGCCCAGGTGACCAGCCACACCGAGTAGGTCTGCAGAGAGCAGCAGCGGCCTCACATGGAGGCTCGTTAGTAACACAGACTTTCCGGTCCCCACCTGAGAGCTGCAGAATCAGTGGGCGTCTTAAATAAATCCCAGGGACTTGGGAGCACAGTGGAGTAGGTGCGGCTCAGGTCTAAAGCAGTCACTCCCAGCCCCGATTACAATGGAATTACCTGGAGAGCTTTCAAAACCACCCACCTCTGGGGATTCTGATTTAATTGGTCTGGGTGGGGTCCAAGTGCTGTTGTATTTAAAAGCTCTCCTGTGGACTCGAATATATAGCAAGAATTGAGTTGTCAGTGTCAGCACGATCTTGGGCCGCTTGCTAGCCTCCGAGCCTGGAGCCTGACACTCCTAAGAAGTGAGAATAAAATTGCCTGTTACCTGGGTTTAGAGACTGGAGATTAGAGGATTTTAGAGGGTTTAGGGACCGGAGGAAGTCTAGAGGAAGACCAAAGATGAGCTTTAATTACCAACTGCTGCTCCAGGGCATTTTATTTGCCCCCCCCCTCCCCCGCAGGGCCAGGTAGTCCCCTAGCCAACACAAGCCCTGAGTCTCAAGCTCTGGGCTCGTGGTCCAGCCAGGCCTGAAGTAGGAGGTGAGGTCTGTCGGTGGCCTTTCTCAAGCTTCTTAGGAAACCGCACATGAAGTTCAGCATTGACAGGTGCCCACCTTGTTTCCCTTCACTGATTTTACACATTCTAGTGTCTGTGTGGAGAAGCACGAGTCCCATGATGCAGGGTCCTGTCTGCAGAGAGGCTGTTTTCACCCAACCGCTTCCCAGTTTAGGGAAATTATCTTCCACTTTACGAGATGCCAGTGGAAGTTCTTCAGGATTCATCTCACATAAATTATTTTTTTTAGCAGCCAAATTTTGGGAGCTTTTCTTCCTAGGAAAATCTTATCTGAGCTCCAGCTCAACTGGGCCCCTTGTGGGAAAAGCAGCTTTGCCAGATCAGGATGCTCCCTGTCCTACGGCCACCGGACCTCCCCATGGGACACTTGGTGCCAATCACTGAAGTGGCCCAGGACCTGGGCTTCAAAGGCTGATCCAAATTGAGGTTTCCTCAAGTCGCACAGTCATAGGACTCGGCTGGGACTGCTCCCAGGCCTCACCCCAGCCCACCAGGCCGAGGCCTCTAGGACAGGCTCTGGAAACTGTTATCTTAGGCAAGTGCCCCCCGGACAACAGCTCCACTTATTAAGAACTCAATCTGTGCCGGGTATTATGTTAAGGACCTTTAATTAACTCATTTAATCCTCACAAGGAACTGGACGTTAAGAATTTGCTCAGGGCCAGCAGAGTGGCGCATTGGTTAGGAGTTCGCTTGGGACACCAGCTCTAAGCAGCAGAGCCCTGGTTCGGATCCCACATGAGGGCCAGTGATGCTGCGCCCTCTACAGCTAAGATGGTGAACAACAGCTCAACCTGGAGCTGGGCTGCAGTGGGGCTGGCTGGCAGTGGGCGTGGGTTGGCTGGCAGGGGGTGTGAGCTGCTGTGAGCCACCATCCAATGGCCAGCGAGCGAATGCCTCAACCAGGAAGAGTGCAATGATAATACCAACATGGGTCAGTGAAGTGACATTCTCCACAAATAGACTGAAGAACAAAAGGACAGCAACTTGTCTGTTCCCCTCCCCTGATTCCCCAATAAAATCTTAAAAACAAAAACAAAAAACAAACAAACAAACAATTTGCTCAGGATGACTAAATCAAAGGCCAGAGCCAGAATTCCACCCCTGGGGCCTGGCCTGGGGCCTGGCCTGCAGAGTCCCCAAACAGGAGGCCGCTTGGCTTCTCAGGCACGAATGTCCATAAGATTCTAAAGCTTGGGCAAGGGTTTGGGTGGGGCTGGGTCCTCTCCAGGACATAGTGCCAACTGCAGTTCAAAGGTGAGCATTTTCTGCAACCCTGGAGGGCAGCGCTCAACAACAAGGCCTGTTACCAAGCAGCCCTCAGCTGTCCCTAGGTCATTCACTCAAGGTGGGTGCCCCACCTGCTCCATGGCTTTGGAGCTGCCCTGCCCAGGGAGCACCACCCCAGGGCAGGCTGGGTGTCCTGTGTGCCAAGGGCGTCAACAGGCAGGAGTTCCCAGGGAGTCAGCTGGCACCCCTCCTGACAGCCAGTCTTTCCCCCATCGCCCAGGTGTCTGTCCAGGCAGGGTGCAGGAGAACAGGGGAAGGGGGGAGGGAGGGGCTCTGCCTCAACTACCATTCCCCACACCCTCCATGCTTTACTCCTGAGATTAAAGAACTCCAGATTTACTGGCTGGTGGGTACAAATAAGCTTCCCGTTTTTCACTTCCCCCTCACAAAGAGAAAAAGCCCTGCTCATCAAACTCCACACCTTGAAGAAATTAAGCCTGCCTTAGGCCCACAGCTGGCATAGTCCTGAGTGGGGCAGTATGAAAACCTCAATAATTGGCAGAGCTAAGAGATCTCAATGGGGACAAATCACATTCTGAGAGGTCAAGGAGACAGGCCAGAGCCCAGGTCCCTCAGGGGAAGAGTACAGCAGCTCCAGGAGTGAGTCTGAATGGACCCCTTACGCTTCCTCTGTACCTTATCCTGATGTGGGAAATTGAAGTCAGAGAGGCCTGAGATTTGGACTCTGAGGGGTGCTGGCCAGCTGAAAAAATGATCTACCACTACTATTAAAGACAAAAAAGAACCTCTAAGAAGGAAAGCAAAACCTCCCCAGGCCAAGCCTCCACCTACCTTCTCTCCCCTCGGCTTCAGAGAGGTCTTACCTGCCTCAGAAGAAAGGCCCTAGCGGGCAGGGCTACAGAGAGCCTGGAGGGTCACAAGCCTCCTGCCACACACACACACACACACACACACACCTACCTCCCCCCCCCCCCCCACACACACAGAGTTTGGAGCTTCTGGACCAGTACCAAGTACTCACGTCCAGAAGTGTGGTTGCCTGCAGACTCCTCAGATAGGGGAAACGCCTGCATCCAACCTAAGATGGATCACTTCCCGGCAGGGCAGGGCCGCCTTGGGGGTGGGGCTTGGGCACTTAAAGGGCCCCTGCAGCTGATACTTTTTCCTCCTCTGGTGGCCACAGCTGAAGGCACTGCCGCTTTCAGCGCTCAGAGATCTCAGCCTCAGAGCCAGCTGGCGTCACAGACAGAGGCTGGCAAAGGGCTCTCTGAGGGCCCCATCAGACTTTAATTGCCCAATCTGGCCGGGTGAAGACAATTGTGCCCCTCCACAGCTGCTGGGGCTCCAGCTGCAGGCCCTTCTCTAAGATAACTTTGTACTTTTCACAAAAAGATGTTCAACAGAAAACACACACTCTCTCTCACTCTCTCTCTCTAGCTCGCTCGCTCGCTCGCTCGCTCGCTCTAAAATGCATCCCGGTTCTCCAAAAAGATGTTCAACAGGAAACGGAAACATACACACACGCTCATTCTCTTTCTGGCAAGGTGCTGTGTTGGGAGCTTGGAGCTTCTCCCCTCTTCTCAAGTTTCCCAGCACCCCGGGTTAGGGAAGGAGGTCAGGGCCCCCCGGAAGGTCCACATCCTACACCCTAAGGCAGCCACAGTCAATATTTCCGCTGCCGGGAGAAGAGACTACTCCCCAAGGGCCGGAGTGGGGGGCTGGTGGGGCTGGGGTCCTCTGAGTCCAGGCTGAAGAGATCCCTGCCCGTCCGAAGGATCTGCTCCTCCAGCTTCTTGTGTCGCTTCATGTCCGAGAGGACCTTGTCCAGGCGGGCCTCCCGTTTCTGGCTCCGGGCTGAGCTTCCTGGAGAAGGGGAAGGAGAGAAACGTGGAAGGGAATGAGGCCATCTAATTACTTAGGGAGTTTGTGAAACATACACATTTTCAGGCTTCGCTCATGGCAGTGCTCAGGTTTCGGGGTGGGCCTCATATGGGGTGGGTGGGGAAGGCCTGAATGATGAGAAGGCGCCAGTGATGGGAAAACCAGCGAAGAGCCTCTCAAGCAGTGAGGAGCGAGTGCGAAAGCCTCAGGATGGGAACGGGGGGGGGGGTGTCTGTTCAAAGAGGGGAATAGGAGCTGGGGTGATGTGAAAGCTGACGCCAAGGAATGACACACAGGCCATGAGAGCGGGCTTGGATCTCTGATCTTAAATCGAAATGCCTGTGGAAGCCTGGGCCGGGGGTTGGGGTCTCTCTCACCATACTCTCCCCCCTCCCCTCAGCAATGAAATCCTTTGGAGGATTTTTAAACAGAGAAGTGACATGAGTTATATTTTCAAAGGATCATTCCAGTTGCTGAGACAAGAGGCAGGGAGATGAGTTAGGTGCTCCTGCAACTATCAAGGCAAGAGAAATGGTGGCCTGGGTGAGGGTACAAAGTTGAAGGTGGAGAGCAGTAGGTGAACTTGGAAATGTTGTGAAGGCAAAGCTAATGGGACTTGCTGGGCTGGTTTGAACGCTGGGGTAAGAGAAAGAGAAATCAAAGATGGCGCCACGAGTCAATTCTAGGAAGGCACATGGGGTGCAAATTGGGTCAGATTCTGAGATGTACACAGTAGCACAGGGATGTGGATGGAGATATAATGAATACCAAGAAAACTTGGATTCTGGGAAGATGGAGATTAACGGAATGGGAGGCATGCTAGAATGATGTGATACTCTCTAGAAGGAAGACCGAGCATCAGTTCAAACTGGAAGGATGGCACCGCTGTGAGAATGAACGCTCTCCTAAAACTACAAGACGTTCAGCCACCAACGCCCCTGGCACAGGCTGCTTTCTGGGAGTCACCTGTTGGGTAAGTGGGAGCAGAGGCACTTCACCTCCCCCCCAACTCTTCCCTAGTCTGTACCTGGGGTGCGTCTCCGGTCAATCAGGGAGTCCTTTGGTGTCACTGGCTCATCATCGAAGTCAAATTCTGTGGGTATGTGGGGTCTGGGACAGGTGGACAGAGAATGAAGGGTGAGGGTGGTCTCCCCAAACCCCCACACGTGCTTCTCCACAGCCTGCCTGCTCTTCCTCTCCTGCTCTCTTCCCTTCCCCTCCACTTCCCACGCTCCTGGGTCCCACCTCCCCTCCCTATTTCCTCCTGGCATCAGGAGAGCAGCCCCAGGAACAAAGCGTAAAGGTGTGCCCTCACTTTTCCTCTTCCTCGTCTTTGGCCTCTGGTTCCTCGTCGGATCTCTCCTCTTCACTCTGGGCTTCAGGCGTGGGTGGCCGGCGGGGCAGGATCTCGGCCTGAAGCTCCAGGGTACCGTGGGCAGCCAGCAGTTCATAGAGCCTCTGGATTTCGGAGGGGGGCGGCATCCAGGACTGCCCATCGGCGGGCAGCTCCACCTCCTCATCGCTGCAGGGCACGCACCAGTCCTCGGATTCTCTCTCGGCCCGCTCTTCCCCCTCCGCGCTGGGGGCTTCCCCCTGCACCTCCTCGGCCCCAGACCCCTCAGCCTCGGCCTCCTCCCGGCCTCCTTCCCCCTCTTCCTCGGCTTGATTGGCTGAAGCCGAGGAGCCCCCGCGATCCCCCACGGCCAGAGCTTGGAGGCCGGAGGTCACTTCCCCTTCTTCGGACAGAGGCGGAGCCGTGGTGGCCGCAATGTCTCCATGACCCCGAACAAGGGACATAGGCCACTAGGATGGAGCCCTACGATTATAGGAGAGGCAGGAGTACTAAACTGGGGATCCCCCGGCTCCCCCAAGGGATTGGGTTCCCCAGGGATTTAGGGATGTCTCCCCAACCAATCAGGCTCCAGCTGTGGTCCCTGCGACCAGACCGCCGGTTCCCAGGAGAGGGCGCTCAGTCCCCTCTGAGGACCCCGCCCACGGATCAAGAGCCGGTACTCTGAGGTTCCCGAGGGCCGGCAGAAACCACTTCCCGGGCCGGACCCGTTCTCATCGCTCTCACGCCGCCCCTCTTCACAGTTAGCAGTTCCGCCACACCAGCCGCCGTACGCACCTGGAGCTAAGACCCGCCTCCCGGGCGGAGCAGGCTCACAGTACGCAGGCGCATAGAGGTGGCGCGGGAGGCTCAGCTCTCGAAGCTACTTGGAAAAGGCAAGCAAGGGAAGACTTGCGCATGCGCAGATAGGCGCTAGGACACGACAGGCTAATGCCCACAGTAAAAATGGCCGGCCGGACGGCGCAGGCGCACACTACTTAGTAGGTTCTGCGGAAAAGAGGCGGTACCGCGCGCCCCGCGGCGTAGCGACGTGAGGACCAACTGAGGCCGGAGGCGAGTCTCATGCAGTCTCCATTTATTGGTGTTTCAGACTCATGCATCATCCGGTATACAAAAAGGGAGAGTTGATTTGATGTATATATATATATTTTTAGATTTTTAGTCTTTTCCCTCCCCACACGTTTTTTTTTTTTTTAGAAAACAAAAACCCCGCCAACTCCGAATTGCGTCGTCGCTCGGTCCCCGCCTCCCTAGCGGACTGTCGCGTGCAACAAACCTTCCTCCTTCTCTTAGAAAATAATTAGATAGCTCCTCGCCCCCTCTCGCTCTGGCGGCTGGGAGCTTTGGTCCTATTGGGGGGTTCTTTCGTTACAAAGCACGTGAATGACCCCCAGTCCCGACGACTTTAAGAAACTCGCGGACTAGGTTAAAAAGCCCAGGTGGGAGGGCACACAGCTGCGCCCCTCCCTTATCTCCACGTTTGGAACATCACTCGCCACTCCGGCACCAGTCCCCAAACGAGACTTGGCTTGCCAGCTCTGCGACCCCGAGGCGCCCTGGGTGGACCTGGGTGGTCCCAGCAGAGAACAGTTCGGAGCCCCGGGCTAGAGTCCTCCCAACATGCTGCCCTCCCCCAGCCTGATCTACATGCTGGAGTTTTTGCAGAATAAACGGTGGCAGGAGGGTGGAGGACAGGATCCTGAGGAGAGGATGCTGAAGGGCCCAGGGTGTGGAGAGGGAAGGAGAGATGATGAAGGAGAGAAGGAAGAAAGGAATGGATGGGGCGAGATGCCAAGACAATGGAAGTGGGGAGTAGGGGGGAGACTAGGGTGGAGGGGCAGGGAATTCAGGAGGTTGTTGGAAGAAGTGCAGGAAGGCTGGGAGAGATGCAGGGAGGCTGAGAGCAAAGAGTTTGGGAGATGTTTAGGGAGGTTTCCAGAAGTGCAGGAATAGGGAGGCCAAGAGGTTGAATGGGCTGCAGGCAGAAGTGCAGGGAGGTCGGAAACAGTGCAGGAGAAGGGAGCCCTACAGTTGGCAGAGGAGCCTGGCAGGATGCAGGAGCAGGAAAGTAGCTGTAAACAAGGCTGCCCAGGCTCCCTTGGTCCCTATGGGTGCAGGCCTGGGCCATCGATTGGGCTCCCCGCAGGGGAGGATGGGCCCAAGGCAGCTCCCAACAGGAAGAAAAGTCTTGGAATGCAGGGCAGAGCCCCTCACTTATACACTGTGGGAGAGGAGAGGGAGGGACCGACAGAGAAGGAGACAGTGGTGGGGAGGGGGAGACAAGGAGAGACAAAGGAGAAGTGGGGAAGACAGACAGGAGAGAGCAGGGGCAGGGGTTAGTAAAGCTGCCCTTGCCAGCCCTTCCACTCCTCCCAACCTGTCCCAGACCCCCACTCACCGCCTAAGTTGATGATGCAGGAGGCGATGATGATGAGAACCCCCCCTACCAGTGCCACGATGCTTAAGAGCTTGGCCACACGACCCAGACGCAGGGCCCCATCCACGTCCCCCTGCTGCAGACTGTTCCGGGACTGGAGCGAGGGTGAGGGGTGGAGGCACCATGGCCCCGTTTGGAAGCCAGCCCAGCAGGGATGGGGTGAAAAAGTCGTCCAGAAGTAGCAGGCCGGCCCGTGGACAGTGGTTAAGGGAGGAAGGAGAGTTGGAGAGGCAGGGGGAGGAGGGCACAGGTCAGCAAGGCTGTGTGAAACAGGTCTGCACATCCCTCCCACCTGAAGGGGTAAAGTCCTAGGGGGAGGCAAGCAGAGGCCCACATGGAGGTGAGATCCATGCAGAGAGGGGAGGCGAGGCTACTCCTGGGGCTTTCTTCCAGTTCAGGAAGCTGGGAGCCACAACAGGCAGGGCCAGGGTCCCGCGGGGCTCACCATGACGGCATAAGCGAAGGCCACGATGTTGACAGGCCACATAGGGCAGAAGCAGGACAGGATGGCGAGGATGATGTAGTCCCGAGGTTTCTGGGTGCCTTCACCCCCTTCCACCCCAGACCCTGCTAGCTGGGAGCTGGGATGGCGGCTCAAGCTACCTCGGGGAGATCCTGGATGCCCACTGTGAACCCTTCCCACTCGGTCTTCCTCAACCAGTTGCTGTAATACCCGGGGCGGAGCCCCATTGGCTGGGGGGGCATTTGCTGAGGGTGGTGAGTGAGGCTGGGGGGCTGGGCCAGCCTGCAGAGGAACCACTGCCCCATTCTCCTGCTTTTCCCCCAAGCTCTCAGTCAAGACCTCAGGGGTGGGGTCCTCCTGGGTAGGGGGCTCTGGCTGAAGGGGTGGTGTGGAGGTGGGCTGGGAACCTGGCTGGGGGTCTGACTGGGGGTCCAGCTGGGGCTCAGGCTCTGAGGCTGGCTCAGACAGGCCTGCAGAATCCAGGTCAGACCTCTGGTCTGCAGTGGCCTCTTTGCTCACTTCTGGCTTGGATGCTGGCTCTTGGCATGCTTCTTTGGGAGTGGAGTTGGCCTTTGCCTCCCCTCCTGGGCTTGAGGTGGGCTCTCTGGCCAGGGCTGTTTTGGGGGCCCGAGTAGGGGTCTCTGTGGTTTCTGGAGCTCCAGTGGTGTCTGGGCCAGGCTGCAGGGCCTCTGGCTCATCTGGGACCCTAGCTGGGACCTGGACAGGGACAGCTCCAGCTTCAGAATGGCCAGGCCCTTCTCCCTGGGTCTGGGGACCCTCCTCTATCCCCTTCATCTTCGAGACCTCAGAGCTGCTGGCTGCCATCTTAAGATGGGAGAGGGCAGAAGGCCTCTGTGGGGAGGATGGAGCTGTAGAGACAGCAGCAGATCCTGGAAGAGGAGGAGACAGGTTTGGTGTGAGGAAGAAAGAGGAGGCTGTCAGCATTGCAGCCCAAGAGGGCTCTGCTCCCTTCTCAGGGCCAGTCTCAAGCTGCCTCTGGGGAGAGGAAGAAAAGTTGGGGTTTCCTTCGCCGGTGGGACGCCCCTGGGGAGGAGCACTCTGCTCAGTCTCCTGCTCGGGAGAGCCCTGGGAAGATTAACCCTTTTGTAAACAGGACCCTCGCCGTGGTCTCTTCCTGCTCCAACAAGATCCAGCCTGTCAGCTCCAGCACCTCAAAACCAAGCTGTGCAGACACCCTTCCACTCTGACAGGCAGACTGGCCGAGGCCCCGTACTCTCATTTCCACTCCCTCCGCATCCCCTCCTCCTCCCTGGGCGCCAGCGGGTGCGGTTTTCTTGCTGCGCGTTTGGGGCGTTGGTGCCCCCGCCCCTCCCTGGGGGTCCTCTGAGCCCCTTCTCAGCCCCTCTCCCAGGGATTCCCTCGCCCCGGTGGTGTGCCCGACGCTTCCTCTTCCCATTGGCGTAGCGCGCCCAGCACCACCAGCCAGTCGGCCCGGAGCCCACATTCCCATGCAGCCCTCCCCGTCTGTCCGTCCACTCCTCTCTGCAGCCTCGGTCCAGCCCCCGTCTCACCTCGACGCCGGCCTCCAGACTGCTTCCGCTGCTGCCGCCGCCACTGACTCTATTGCAGCAGCCGCAGCCCGGGAGGGAGCGAGTCAGCGCAAGAGGGAGGGCGGGCGGGAGGGAGGCAGCGGGTCTCCCCTCCGCTCTGCTCATCCCCTCCTCTCCCTCCTCTCCGGTCCCCTCCCCTACGCTCCGCAGCCGCGCGCACTGCCCCCGCCCCTCGCACGCCTCCAGCCCTCCCGGCCAGCCCAAGGGAGGTACGCGTGCCAGGCCCCGCATTACCCAGGCAACCGGCCGGGGACCACTCGCGCCAGCTCCCTGCCCCTTCCCACGCGCACCTTCTAGGGGTGCCTCCTTCCCAAGCCCCGGGCCCCTCCCGCCAACGGTCACTGGGGATACAGGCAGAGGCAGGGGTTTGGGTGAAACGGAGAGGGATATAAGAGGGGGCAGGACCAGTGAGGCGGGCAGGCCCGGTGGAAGCATCCCTACGGGGAGAAAGCAGGGAAGGGAGATTGAGGCCAAACTTGGGGAGGCTGTAGGGTGGGGTTTCAAGAGGAGTCTGCAGACAGGGTCTCCCTCTGCTAAGGAAGCAGCAGAAATGGGCATGGAAAGCTCAAGAAAAGGTAGTGGAAAAGAGCAGGGGCTAGGGTGGGAATTGCCGAGGCTGCCCCAGGCCAAACATGGAGGACAGGTGCAGCGTTTCTCCAGCTCCCTGCTCCCAGTCCTGGGCCATCTTGCTCAGCCTTTCCGCGCAGTATCATCCCCCATCATCTCAGGGCCTTGCGGGGTGTAGGTGTCTGGCTGGGGTCCAGCACTGCTGTTCCTAACCTTCATAGGCTATTCTGGGCCTGTCCAGATTGGGCGTTCCCCAGGGACCTGGGAGTCCTGAACTTGCTCTCCTCGGCTTCCGAAGCCTTGGCCTGGCCCTGAATCTGGGCAGCCTGACTGGTGCTGCCTCTGGGGAGGGAGGAGCCAGAGCTGTGAGGAGCAGGGCAAGGCCTCCACTAACACCAGGCCCAGGAAGAAACCCCTTGAGGATAGGGACCCGGGCTTGGTGAGAGCAAGTCATTCAGCCAGAGCCAGAGCCAGGTTTTTATTTAAAATTTATTGTAATGGGATCTGCACAAAAGGAGGGGGTGAAGGGTGGGGAACATGCAGGGGACACAGGAACACGATGACATGGCCAGGGCCACAGCTTCTGTCTTGGGGGAGAGGGATGAAAAGAAAAGGCCAGGGCTGGAGCTGGGGTGGAAGAGGGAAGGGAGAGACACTGCGGCGGCATTCCCCCACCCCCAGGAAGCACCTCTGCTCCCTGGGCCCCCCCATGTACCCTGGCCCCCTAAGATTCCATCTCGTCCTGCCTCTGGCCCTAGTGGCTCCTTCTTTTGCTCCCCTTGACTTGTTTTCCCCTAGCAGGTTCTCAGGTAGAATAATGCTCTGGGCCTCACCCCAAACAGCCCCACCTCACGAAGGTGCCACCTCTGCCTTCCCTGCTCTGCCCCTTCTCCAAGCTCACCTTTTCCCTCTCTGGGACAGAATCTTTGATTCCCCTCCTTCCTCTCCTCCCTCCCCTTGGGGGGGGAAAAAAAAAAAAAAGCACCAATTCCCCAGGGAGGGGCAGCAGACATTGGGGACTGGAAGGAGGGGAGCAAGGAGGACCATCAAGGAGGAAGGCTCACAGGCCCTGGGAGGACAGGGCGGGGGCCACAGGCAGGGTGAGAGCAGCGCTGCTCCTGCCCTCTGCCACCCCTGCCCACTGTCCAGGGGGCTTCAACACAACCAACGGGACAGGTGTGTGTGGGGTCAGGTCTGAGAGGGAGGAGAGAGGAGCAGGAGAAACAAATCGTTAAAACCTAGTGAATTCCCCTAAGAAAACGCTTCTTCCTCCTTTCCTTCTGGAGGCTCTTTGAAGGTGGTGAAGCAGTGAGGAGTTGGTGGGAAGAGAGTGGAACAGGAGATGATACCAAGGGATGTTCCTCCATTCTCCCTTCTTCCCCTCACCAACTTGGAGCTCACCAGGGCTGGGAAGGGAGTGGCTGAGAGCTCACAGGCACCCCCTCAGCCCCAGAGAGGGAGCCCACAGCAGTGGGAGGGGCTGCCACTGATGCAGCTGCTGCTGCCGCTGCTGCCGCCGCCGCTGCCGCCGCCGCCATTGGACACACCTCACCGGTACCTGCGTGGTGAGAAGAGACCACAGTGCCCTCTGAATGGCAAGAGCCTTGCCCCTTGCCCCGGACTCTCCCCTGGGACACAGCCGTTGGTGCTCAATTCTTGTTTGGTCCCAGGAGGTTTCAGCCTACATCCTTACCCAGTTCTTCTGAAGGGCCCTCCCTGTCCCCAGAAGTATCCCTAACCTGAGTGACAGGTGGACATCCCTGGCCTTCCTGAGATCCCCTATTGGGCCCTCTGAGCCCTCTTGTCCCACACACACCAACCCACCACCCCAGCCATGCCCCACGCCTTGCCTGGTGGGTGCGGGGTCCCCCTCAGCAGGTGGGTTGTGGCTGGGGGGCATCTCCCGGGACAGGGGGGGCGGCCCCCCCCAGGTGGGTCTGCATGTGGCCGGCCAGCTGGGCAGGGGTCTTGCAGTGCACGCTGCACAGCTTGCACAGGATGCGGTCAGCCCGCGGGGCCTGGAGCCCATGGTCCTTCACCGCGTGGATGCGCAGGTATGCGGCCGTGGTGAAGCCTATGGGGGGGGGGATGGGGATGGGGGTGGGGTCAGCCAGGTGGAGACCCCAGAGACGGGGCTGTTCTCCAGGGCTAGGGACACCCTCCTCACATGGCCCTGTCCTCCTCCCACCACATCCTTGGTAACCTGGGGCCGGCTAGTTTGCGGGGGCTGCTTGGGCACAGCCACTCCCTGAACTTGGAACCTGGCTGAGTGTTCGCTTCTCGGCCTTCGTACCCACAGAACCCATTCTCTGTGGCTGGGGGATCTCTCCTGGGGTGACAGGACACTGACTCCTAGCCACTTGAAGGGGTGACCCTCAGCAGAGACGGCTGTGTCCCCTCCCACCAGTCTCAGCCCAGTTACACAGTGAACAAGCGAGTCTGTTTCTCTGCTACTGGGGCAGAGTGTATGCTTGTCAAACTCCTGCCAACATACCCACTTGCCCCGGAAGTTGAAGATAAACACTTGTGCCTGCAGAGCTGAAACCCTGCCCCTCAGCTCCTGGGCACTGGCTCTCTTGACCGCTCCTTCCCAAGCAGCCATGGCCCACTCCCATTCTCCCCACACACACCCAGAAATTGACTTTCTGGTAAATTCTCTCTTCCAGCCATGACCTCTTAAAACTTAATGATGTCCAGTGGTCCCAGTGCTGCTTCATTTGCTTCCTAGAGGGCTCAGGATGCCGTGAGCTCTCAGCTACAGCACCTTAACTCCCATCTGTGGAAGGGTCTCTGGCTCTGTGCCCACCCTTTGTTCCCTGCCCTCCCAGCATCCCTCTGCATGTACCTTTGTTGCAAAGCTCACAGACATGGTGCGGGCCCTGGCTGTGCACCTTCATGTGGTCCGAAATGTAAGCCGAGCTCAGCATCTTGCCACATACATGACATGGCACCTTCTCCTCGTGTCGTACTGTGTGTGCCCGCAGCCGATCCTTCGTAGCAAAAGCTGCCTCACATTTCTGGGGAAGGGGGAGGGGTGTGGGGGGGTGTCAGGAGAGTTAAAGCTTCAGGGGGTAGGGAGATGGGGACAAGAGGTTAAAGGAATCAGAGCCTTGGGGATCTTTGATCTGTAGGAAATGGGAGTGAGATGACGAGGCCTTGAAGGGATGAGAAAATGGAGTGAAAAAGCAAAAAGAGAAAAAAAGGGGGTCTGAGAGGCTGAACTCAGACAACTATAATGAGGATCAAAATCATGAAAACCAGGCCAGGAGGCAGTGGGCTTCCTACCTCACACTTGAAAGGCCGTTCTGTTGAGTGCACTTGTCGGACGTGGCTGTTGAGGTGATCCGGCCTGGGGATACGTTGGGGTTCGGGTTAGGTCCCTGGGGTGTGGAAATGCCCCCAAATCTGCCTCACCTAGTACAACGGGCCTTTGCAAAGTTCCCTGCCATTTTTTTCCCCAACCTGGGGCTTCAGAATCCTGGTTAGACAGGAAGTCCCTCCCCTGGAGCAGGGCTGCCTCGTCCATGCCAAGCTTTCCTACAACCCAAGGACCCACCTCTTTTGCTAAGTACCACCCCCTGCTCGCTGGTAGCCAGGAGTGGCTTTTCCCTCCTCCCTGGGAGTGGCTCCCAGGCCCCATCCTCGGAAACCGCCTCCCTCCCTCCCCACCAGCCAGCAGAGGGGAGGGCAGGCCACCTCCACTGCTCGCCCGCCCTCCCCACCCGCCCACTGGGCGGCCGAGGACCCGTGCACACCGGGAGAAGCTCTTGCCACAGTGGGAGCAGTTGTAGGGCTTGTGCACAGCGCCGTCATGTGAGCGCACGTGGTAGCTCATGCGGTCCTTGCGCTTGAAGCGCTGCTGGCACACCGGACACTGGTAGGGCTTCTCGTCGGAGTGCGACAGCTTGTGTCGGTTCAGGTGGTAGACGTCGCGGAAGGCCTTGCCGCACATCTCACAGGCGTGGTTCTTCCGGACGCGCTTTCCCGAGGCGGTCGTGGTCACCACGCCACCAGCGGCCACTGCGGCCGCTCCGCCGCCAGCACCGGCTTCTCCCCCTCCTCCTCCGGCTCCGCTCAGCTGGGGGACGCTCAGGAGGCTCAGGGGCACCATGGTGGGCATTTTCATAGCACCCGAGGGGACCCGGCCGGCCTTGGCTCCCGTGTGTATGGCCTCGTGCCTCCGGAGATTGTAGCCGTTCTTGAACTCCTTGGCGCACAGGGCACAGATGTAGGGCCCCTTGCTCTTTGTCTTCTTCTCCAAGACTGATGCGACCGGGGCCACGGCGACCGTCGAGGTTGGGGCTACGACAGCGGTGGCTGCAGCGATAGTGGCGGCAGAGACAGGGGGCGCGGCCTCGGCAGCGGGCGCAGACACCGGCGGGGGCGGCGGAGGGGGCGCGGGCGGCTGCTTCAGAGCCGCTGTGTCCACTGTAGAGGCAGCGGCCGCGGTCGGAGGCGCAGCGGCAACGGCGGCGGCGGCGGCGGCAGTGTGAAATCTCGGACGTCAGTGTGGAGGCAATTTTGCCTGCGGAATCTGGTCCTTTCGGCTTTGCCTGGAGC